TATAAAGTGGACGTAACTTTGCCAAAAAAACGGGATCATCCGGAAAATAAGGGATGTGCCGACAAAGCGACACCTGCTGTCATAATATGAACACAAATTTTTGCAACTCGCATTATGCTTACTGCCAACTGCTTAGTGCGTACTGCAACATGCGACTATAATATCGTTATCGTTGTCATCTTTGTTGTTTGCATTATATTTGTAATCAGTGAATATATTGAAGCATGTGAATGCTTTAAGACACATCAAATCAGCCAATTATTGATCAAAATGAAATAGTTTAATTTGACATAATGTCGAACAATATAAGTGGCAGATTTTATAGCAAATTAAAGATACAACTACCATTTTAAAATATAGTTATAAAGAATGTTGTTATCATTGTTAAACACCAAAGATTAACACGTTGTCCTAAAAAAAGATGCAATTAACATATATAGGCATATTTAAAATAATGTGAGTTTTGGGGCTTTATTTGGGGAACAAAAAGGTTGAAATTACATGAAATTTGAATTCAGTTAACAAAGGCATATTGAATTCAGAAAAACCAAATTTTTCTTTAAAAAGGTATAGGAAACCCAAATGTAATTTCCCAATTTTTTAAGCAAGAGGGAAATAAATCATTTAATTTCTGTTCCATATCCCAAAAATTCAACACTAAAAACTTAATTTGGGTGGGACCCCTTTTCAAAAACTTTATTCAAAAATTTTTATTTCCGGGAAAAATTTAACCAAAAAAATAGCCTCTTAGCCGGGTTTTTAAATTTTACAAAGTTTCATTTTAAACACTTTAAAAATTTAAATTAAAAACAAATTCAATTTTTAAAAATTTGCCCTTTCTGATTGGGGTGGGAAATCATGGCCAATCGCACGTAAAAAATTTGATTTACCCACGCAAATGAAAACAACAAAAATAACATAAAAACTAACAAAAAACTGACTTCTGTACAGAAAGCAGGCCTTGAGGCGTAAAGTACATCTACGGTAAAAATCTTGGGAAGAAACTAAAATGGTGGCAAGCTCATGAATTATTCATATGACACTAACCACATAATACAGTCTCGGAGTAGATTGCAGTTAATGTCAGCTGGTCTGTAATAACACTACACATAACATATTGTGAAATAAACACAACACAAATAATTATGCATTTTAATATCTAAATTTATATCAACGTAGGCAGTTACCTAGTAACACCACATTAATGACAAACTTGGCAAAAAAGTGGAACATTGCAATATATATAGGATCTTTAAATATGTACAAAATAATCTAACTGGCACAGAGAATGAGAAAAACAAGTGATCCCATGTTTAAACACTTTCTTAATTTTTCAAATTTAGCATAAAAATGTATGTATTGAGAAATTTATTCATGCATCATTTAATCAAAACTATTCATTTTCAACTTATTGAAAGCCATGAGAATAGTTATTATTTCCTTCAAATCAAGTTTTTCCCACTTGCCCTAACAAGAGTTTTGGACAGTCAATTTAGTGGTGGCAAATTGTCTATATTGCCAAGCTTGTCCCACTGCCTGTATGGACAAGTGATTCTTTTTTTTCTGGCATTTTCTTTTATTTACAATGCCATATGGACAAGTAAAGAAATGCTTCAGGTAAAACAAGAGGGCCATGATGGCCCTGAGGTCGCTCACCTGTATTATAATAGGCCCCCCCAACCCCCACCCCCCCCCCCAACGTTGCAGGGCCAATTTAACCCAAGGGCTTTTATTTGCACAAACTTGGTAGACACCCATAAGAAGATGTTTCATGCTAAACATCTAAGCTCTAGCTCTGACATTGGGCTTTTTAAAAGAAGATTTTTTTAAAGTTTTTTACTATACACATATATTTAAAAACAATGACACCCCTGGGGCCGGGCCAGGGCTTTTATTTGAACAAACTTTGTAGACACTTACTAGAAGATGTTTCATGCTAATAATATCTAAACTCTAGCTATTTGGGTTTTTCAAAGAAGTTTAAGTTTTTGCTATACACATATAAAGAAAATCAATGACCCCCGGGGCGGGGCCAATTTTGACCCCAGGTCTTTTATTTGAACAAACTTTGTAGTCACACTCACTAAAAGATGTTTCATGCTTAATATCTTAACTCTAGCTATTTGGGTTTTTTCAAAGAAGATTTTTTAAGTTTTTGCTATACATCATATAAGGAAAATCAATGACCCCCGGGGCGGTGCCAATTTTGACCCCAGGGCTTTTATTTGAACAAACTTGGTAGACACCTATTAGAACATGTTTGATGCTAAATATCTTAGCCATAGCTCTTTGAGTTCTTTAAAAGAAAAGATTTTTTAAGTTTTTACTATATGCAATATAGGGAAAATCAATGACCCCCCAGGGCAGGGCCAATTTTGACCCCAGGGCTTTTAATTGAACAAACTTGGTAGACACTTATTAGAACATGTTTCATGATAAATATCTTAGCTCTAACTCATTTGGTTCTTTAAAAGAAGATTTTTTAAGTTTTTACTATACATATAATGTATGCATATAGGGAAAATCAATGACCCCCTGGGGCGGGGCCAATTTTGACCCCAGGGCTTTTATTTGAACAAACTTGGTAGACACCTATTAGAACATGTTTGATGCTCAATATCTTAGCCATAGCTCTTTGAGTTCTTTAAAAGAAGATTTTTTAAGTTTTTACTATATGCATATAGGGAAAATCAATGACCCCCCGGGGCAGGACCAATTTTGACCCCAGGGCTTTTATTTGAACAAACTTGGTAGACACCCATTAGAACATATTGCATGCTAAATATCTTAGCTCTAGCTCTTTGGGTTCTTTAAAAGAAGTTTTTTTTAAGTTTTTACTATATGCATATAGGGAAAATCAATGACCCCCGGGGCGGGGCCAATTTTGACCCCAGGGCTTTTTATTTGAACAAACTTGGAAGACACTCACTAGAAGATGTTTCATGCCAAATATCTAAGCTCTAGCTCTTATGGTTTTTTAAAAGAAGATATTTAAAGTTTTTTTCTTTCGGTTGCCATGGCAACCAGAGTTCTGCATGGAATTAAATTCTTTGAACAATTTTTAAAGGTGACCGCCAAAGGAACATTCCTGTGAAGTTTGGATGAAATTGGCTTAGTGGTTTATGAGGAGATGTCATTTAAAGTAAAAGTTTACGGACGGACGACGGACGGACGGACGACGGACGAAAAGCGATCACAAAAGCTCACCCTGTCACTTTGTGACAGGTGAGCTAAAAAGTCAGTCAAAATCAGATTTTGCCCACTCTGCTGTTGCCAGGTTCAAGATTTTCATTATTGAACAGCAAACAGTATGGTGTCTGGCCACAATGCATGAACAATATCCCGGCCAGCCTGTCTATCTATATTACTATAGTAATACCAAGTAGCATTTTCAGGACATTCATTATCATAGTCAATATTTAATCAACCCTTTCCAACCTAAATATCTTAAATGGACTTGTCCATCTTTCAGTCTGGACAAAACCAATCATAATCTGTAGGAAATTTAAAATATGTAATGACTGAACAGGGCATCTTCACCCTATCACCATGGGTCAAAGTAAGTCCCTTTCCCCAATCAATAACAGCCTCTTTTTTCCCCCAATTTCTTAATTATCACTGGGCTCATGAACTTAAATAACAAATCAACGGAATGCAAATTTTTTCGAGTGCAATCTATCAACAAGAAACACCCACATATTTACAATACTGACATTGTCCTTTTACAGCATGTTTATCTATTATAGTTAAATAACAGACAAGACAGTTACTGAGTTAGTTACATCTTAGAAAACAATCTGTGCCACACAAAAAAGGCTGTAAATAAAATGAGAATTGATGGTGTGAAACTTGTCTTAAAGCTATGAATATTTAAAGTGTTAACTATGTTCATTGAAATCTATTACCTTGTTCCTTTTTCATTAAACACCATCTTTTAAATTTACTTGTAATGACAGAAATCAGTAAGCTGCACAGACTTAAACCTCATGATGCCTAAGCTCAATTCTGGATGCCTAAGCTCAAGTCTGGATGCCTAAGCTCATGTCTGGATGCCTAAGCTCAAGTCTGGATGCCTAAGCTCAATTCTGGATGCCTAAGCTCAAGTCTGGATGCCTAAGCTCATGTCTGGATGCCTAAGCTCAAGTCTGGATGCCTAACCTCATGTCTGGATGCCTACATTTTGTAACCTCATGTCTGGATGCCAAACCTCATTTAGAAATCAGTAATCTGCATTGACTTAAACCTCATGTCTAGATGTCTAAAATTCAGTTCAACAGTCACAGGGAAACAAACAAAATATAACCTTAATGTTCTAATGCACACAAAAACTGTGGAATATAAAAACACTATGCACATGCAAAATCAAGGGATCAACAAAATGAATTTGTGGTCGACCACTTTCCTCAAAGGTGTTCTGTGGCATACCACACCAAAAGTCTATATTTGTATCATGCCCTTACAGCACCTGTTATTCATTTTATTATTTTGTTTTTCATCTTTTTTTTTTAAATGTAACGTCTATTTCCAAAAGTTAATACAACATTTATGAAAATAATTGTCATTCAGAAAGAATTAAACACAACAGAAATGTTCTTTATTTAAAAAAACGACAACACTAATTTCTGTTTGTTTTAAATATTTTTTTCTTGTTATATTTTCAAACCACACCAATATTTTTAATCTTAACATTTCTGCTTTACTGAAGGACAGAGAGACCCAAAAATGACCCCCACCAACCACAATATTTCTTTAGGCACAATTTAGGGTCACCAGGAAATTAGTGTTTTTTTTTAAACAGAACAACCTTAACATGCTGGCAGTGACTGAAGTAACACATGCAACCAGTGCAAACCAAGATCATCATGTCTCTGCACTATTCAGTCACTACATATTTTGAAATCTTTTCCCTAAAATTATGTATGAGTCTTGTCCATATAGAAAGACGGACAAGTCCATTTCATTTATTCAGGGTGGAAAGGTTAAACAAGAATTTGACTTACACTTTGCTTTCTTCAAGATGACAGAGGTATTCATAAGCGATATTCTGCTTTCTCTGCTCGTCCATCTCCTCGGCGGTCATGTGACCATGTTGTTGCTGTGGAGGACCCGTGTGGTGTGGCTCCGACATACTCCCTGAAAATATAATTGATTATTTTTGTTTTGTTCTTTTTTGTCGCTTTTGTTGGCTTTTGTGTTTTACGTGTGTGTGTGGAAGGGGAGGGGGAAGGTGTTAAATAAAGAACAAAAAGGAAGGTGAAAGTGAATAAACATGTAGCTTAAGTACTGTATATATATTTAACTACATTTATATTTTCTATCAATTTTTCAGAAGGGCTGAAGACAGACAACAATGTACAAAGACCTTTGAATATCATTACCTAATACCATTCCTAAGAAAATTCCTAACACACATTATACATGCATGTAACTATGTAAAAATATATTACAAAATTGAACCAATCTTACAATATTGTATATTGTGATGATTCAAACCTAATATAACCACCCAACAAATAATGCATTTTGTTTATGTCCAAAAATGATTAAGAAAAGACCTAGGGATATTTTAAAATTTCTGAAGAGATATGGACTTCATGCTCTCATTTTCTCTGCAGAAAACATGTACAATCCACTTATTGAGACAACAAATCTTTGACTGAAGGAAATGCATTCATGTAACATTCTCCTTGTCAACAGAATGTCACTGCTAACTGCACAAACTCAATGCAAATTAGTGCAGGCTAAAAAAAAAATCTGCTGTCATTTTAACAAAGTGTCTCAAAGCAATTAGATTTCATGGCAAAGAAATAAAGTTAAAAACACAGTACAATTCACTCTTTCAATTCTTAGAGCAACCATAATTAACAGCCTTGTCTGAATTCAGTATGCTTCACAAGAGCAGATTATGTCTTCACATAAGAGCTGTTGGTAGGACAGTGTGCTCGATTATTCTCGGTGCTTGATAGTTAAACAAAGGCCTGGATAATGTTGAGTTTTTATATGTTCGAAAAGGGCCATAATTGTGCCAAAATCCATGTTAAAGTTATTGACCAGTGATCTACTTAGTATTATGATCTCAACATGGCAAATTTGGATTTTCCTTTCTTATCAAAGGGCTTCCATTAGTGGAAAAGTTTGGAACCATTTACTACTGAATTAAATTTGGTCTGTGACTTCCAAAATATATTGCTTTCCTTCTTTACCTATATTAATGTGACTTCCTATGTCAGTCATTTTGGAACTTAGCAGAAGCCCTGTAATCCCCTTGTATAAATAAACTTTTACTGATAAAGCTTCACAGTTCATTCCAGTTCACATAAGTGTGTTCACACTGTTACGCTTTTTCATCCACATATTTACCATGATGTAACTGCAAAAGTTAGTTTGTATCCTGGGAAAATATAGCTTACCCTAAATTTGCAGAGTTTAAAAAAAACACTGCACCCACTTAAAAAACTAACATCCCTATAAAGATCTTGACTTCACTTGGATAGTGAAAGCATGTTTTGCTTGGTTAAATTGATCAATGTTATTTGTACACTTTACAACATTTTTACTCATTAGAACCGTTCTAAAATTTTCATAAAAAATAAAGCAAATATGAAGGCACGCTAATTTAACCAGGAGAAATTTTAAAACAAAGCAGAAACTAAATTTGAATACTGACCTGAAGCTGGTTTTCTTGACATTACATTTAGCAATCAACAATTATTTTGCAAAATTCCTGCCAGTATTGCAATTTAATTATATAATTATTCCTTCACTGAAAAGATATTGACCAAGCTCTAATATAGCATTGGTCATAATTTTGTAATTCCTTCAAATTAAGAAAGTCAATTAAAGATGCTACTTAACGTTTGTTAAATTCTAATACGGAAGACTTTACTTCATGATAGATGATAATGGACTGATATTAAATTACATTTCATAAGCATATGATTTATTTTTTTCCTTAAGTAAACATTTCTTTATCGATTGAGATATTTATAAAGTACTTATCAAAAGATTTACTCAAGCATTTCTATCAAGTGATGCATATTTAATCAACCATTTGATGTAAACTTGAAAGTTAATCTAATGTCAGTAAAATTAAAGATAAAGGCATTTATAATAACTTATACATTTTGGAACTGACTCTTTAGTTTTTTCATAGATATATCATTTGATGTACTGACAGTAGAAACGTTAACGTAAATTTATGTTACATGTAATCGTTGTCCATATTTTCATACATATATAATTCCAGAAGTACAGCATTTGAGCCATAAGCATTCAAAGAAAGAAACTTACATTTGTACCAAATTTTTCAAATACTAGTAATGAACTATTAACCCATTACCACTACCAGATATAAATACAAGCCTTTTTCACCCTCCTCCCCCCTCCCCTTGTTGTCCCAAATGTCAAATGGTGAAAAAAGCCTTATTTTGGCCCCCAATACTTTGTTTTGTTTGAGAAAAGTTGTTTAAAAGTGACCACTTTTTCAGCGCCGCCCCCTATCCAAAAGCTACATCAGGGTGTTGCCAGAAGAGGATGTGCCCCCTTCTGTGGACTTGTTTGAGGCTAAACATGACCCTAGGTCGATCATAAGGTATCATGTAACCAACGCTGAAAAGCCGTTGACTCTATCTCAATCCATTGAGAAGTTGCAGCACTTTAAAATCAATTTTGATGGAAAAAAATCAATGCAAAATAGTGATTTTTGGCAATTTTGAGATGTCCCCTCGTACCGCTAGACCTGTTCTTACAGTGACATATAAAGTTATGGAAGCCAGAACTACCTCGATGTACATTGTGTGAACAGCAACTTGATGAACAGGACTACATGTACTGTCAATGTTTGTATTTTTGTGGCATGGGGCTGACATATCTTATTAATTGAATAATTGATAATTCACATACTCACATGCATGCATTGTTATCATCGGCGGCACGAAATACCCAAATATACCCAAATACACCCAAATATACCCAAATATTGCCCATATATACCCAAATGTAGCAATATTCATTTATTTTTGTATAAAATACAGATTATAATGAGAAAATTAATTAATATTTATAACATAGTATGACTTAGGCGGCTATAACTTTCATTCATTCCGTTGAAATGGGCAGTTCAGATGTTGTAAGAAAATAATCTTGTGACATTTGCTTATCTACAGTAGGTTCATTAATGAATATACTTGCAACTTAAGATAAAGATATGATAAAATTTGTTGACTTCATTTTTCTTTTTTTGGTATAACTTTGCTAAAATTTCATACAAGTGTCCATCGTTTTATTTTTTTAGAAAATTTAATATAGCTTTAATGGGGTATACTGTATTTGGGTATATTTTGGTGATAGGAAAATGAATATTTGGCTATGTTTGATTTTATCTTAGTGAATGTTTATATTGTAATTCATAATAAAAATAACACTTTTTGTTATAAAACATTTATTTTTAGTATATTTGGACATTATTTTTAGTATATTTGGCAATATTTGGGTATATTTGGGCAATATTTGGGTATATTTGGGTGTATTTGGGTATATTTGGGTATTTCGTGCTGCCCGTTATCATAACATAAATTTAATGGTTTGCATATATTCATCTTCAGCTGTCACATAGTCAACACATTACATGTGTACTCACTCTAATGATACTCACCACTTGTTGAAGACCGCTTGGGTTTAGGAGCAACAACTGGTGGCGGATCCTTAGACACTGATTCCCGTCTATCAACAACTTCTTCAGGCTCTACATGCCCGTTAACTTCATTTCCTTCTGCAAAAACCTCCTCAGTTGACATAGTGTACAATATCTTGGGTTGCAATTGGTTTTCTGACGTCTAATTTTTCATTTTACAAAAAACACAACACTTTGCTTTCTTGGCAGATCCAAATGACACTTTTTAAATTATAATTTTCTACTGACACTAACAAGAGAATTAAGAGAGCGCACAATTAAGAATGAACAAAAACGTAAACAACCGCGTCACGAACGGGCAGCTGTTCTGACTCCCTTACCTACTTTAAAACAAAATAAAACAAAATGACAACACCTAGAAGGGAAAATAAATCCTCAAAGATAGCAAATCATTTAAATATCAACACAAATTATTCCCTCCGCAATAACACAGCTTTAATTATTTCTCTTGCATGTTATCCGGAAACACTTCTCATTTCCTACTTTGTAATTACGCGGGACTTGTGGGTATACTGACTTCTGACCTTCTTGAACCGACCAATCAACTTCTTAGGATTTTGGACGAGTTCGATTAGTGGTTCATTTTTCATTTAAATTGCCTGGTAGTCAATTTTTTTTTACTGTTATTTTTTTAATTACAGAAAAAATGTTATTTACATGATACTTAAAACCATTGTATCTCAAAATGTTATTTTCAATCGTATTCTCTACGATTTTTCCGGTACAATTAATTCAGTCTGCGTATGATTAAGTGCGATCTTAAATGTAAGAAAAAATGTTTTGACAATGGTGACCACTGACCAGGTGACTACAAGTTTGCCGCGGAACAAATTGTTCATGTGTTCGAGCCGTCTAATTTGTCACTGTTAAGTTTCCTAATATGATACAAAAACACATTGCTATAGTTCCAAGAAGTGAAATTTAAAAGTTGCATGGAATTGTTTTTATAAGCAACCTGTAACCAGTGTAGTTGATTATATACATTGTATGTATCAATCCCTGCTTTAAATAACGATTTTGCTCAGTATCGACTAAAGAAGGTATGATAGTAACCATAAGGTTAATTTTATCATTATCCAATTTAAATACTTAATAAAGTCTAGACATAACATATATTCGTAACGTCATTATATGACTTTTTGTGAGGTTACTTGATAAAACTTCTGTTGTATTATCCTCATCTATTTGCTATTATCATACCAATATGTTACTATCTTTTGATATCCGATACGAAAAGGTCGTTTTGGTCTTGAAGAAACAAATGATCGAGAATCTGAGTCTTGCATAATTATTGATATATAAGATATTGATGTGTGATGAATTGGCAACGGCGTGATTTTTTTTCTTCAAAATATTCCGGAGTTCACGTGTACTATTTTAGTGCAGTTAGACGATAAAAGATATAAAGCACTTAAACATTTGACAATTGACGATTATTTACCGAAAATAAAGTTTTGTTCTTTCTATTAATCTATGACCCCATGTTCACAAATAAAAGAACAGGATAAAATGGTCCTTATTTTATTTTCATTGCTGTATGAAATTAACTTTGATTATATTAGGCTAAAATAATATAATGCATATTGCAATATGTAAAGCAATTTTCATTTTCCCCAAAAACACCTATATCTAGATAAAGTTTAGAAAAAGCAATACAAAAAATAAGACATTACTGGGTCAAAATAATCAAGATAAATTTTATGTACAGTGTATTTTGGGTTACTTTTTATACAAGCGCATATTGTACATGCAATACTTTAAAGAGTATGCAAACTGGTCGAAGCGATAATGTGTTATGTTTTTGTAACATATAAATGTATAATTGTGACAAGAAAGAATAATTATATGTTCATACTCTTGCGTTGTGAGACACAATCACTAATATTAATGCAACTATTACCGTTTATACTGATGCAACTATTACCAATAGTAAAATGAAAAATTAAAGAAGAATAATGCATGTTATATAATGATGTACGCCAATCTGCAACATTGGGCAACCATGACGATGGTATGAAATACATGTATGAAATATGAATTCACACTTTGCCTCAGAAACAAATAAATTTCTCTTCTTCGGCAAGGAAAAATTGAGTTCCTAACGTCTAAATAATGGTTTACAACCATATTATAGGCTTGTCGCCTGAATAAAACAGTGCTGAATGTGAAAGTATTTGTCAAAAAATGTTACAAAATGTAAAAAAAGTAGTATTTTGAATTACATACTAAATTACTATAACTGATAGTACTTATTACCATATACAGCAACAGAAGAATAGGATGGTTCAGGTAATTGGCCAAAAACTGTAACATTTCGTAAATAAGAGCGTCATGATGGCATTGGTTCACTCACCTGATGTACATTGCTAGAAAAAGGTCTAGATTTCAGTAATGAAGTCACATTGGGTTTGTTGTGTTTTACCAAGGTATCATAACATACATTTTTTACAGATGACTGCTACTATTAATGCTTCAAGACAATTCTTCTAGCATTGCAGTTTTTACAAAAGAAGGCATAAATGTATTTCCCTATACGAGTCTATATAAGCTATGCTATCCCCATGGCGGGATAATTTTGATCCATCATCATTTGTATAACTATTGTGAAGGACCACACGGTGATGGCACATGCTACATGCAACATATCTAAACCCTTGCACTTAAAAAGAAGTACAATTTTTATGCATTTTTCTTGAAAGTCTATATAAAATTAGTAACCACGGGGTGGTGCCATTTTTCACCCAAGTGAAATGATTTAAAAAGAGAGAAATAAGAATCCCTAAAGAAAGCCCAACAAGACAAAATTGAAAATGTTGCAGGCTCGGTTTGATTGAGCCTGTTCATGGACGGTAATGGAAAGTGCAAATTACCGTCCACGCCCATTAGCACCGGCTTAAGCAGAATTCAACATTTAATACACTTTTATAGTGGACCACAATGTGATACTTCACGCAAAACATCTAAGCATTTAGCACTGATCTTACTGAAGAGAAGAATTTTAAGACATTCATACTATTCAAATCTATATAAAGTAAGTGACACATTTATTGTCCCCGAGAGGCATACCATATAAAACTTTCGTAGATGTCCATTAGGCAATGCCCATGTAAACTAAGTGACCTCTATTTTGGGGCAATTTTGACCCCCCAGAAGCAAAATTAATAAATTTTTTTAGATATAGGACTACAGGGTAATGCCACGTGCCAAATATCTAAGCCTTGGACATTATAGTTTCTGAGATGCTTTTTTAAAGATTTCATTTTTAAAGTTTATTTTAAGCTCCTGTGACCTACTTTACCACCAGTGTGACCAGACTGACGTCATGTATAGAGCTTTTGTAGACGATCATCTAAGGATTGTTCCTGTGAAGTGTGGTCAATATCCATTTAGTCGTAAAACGTTCTGACCATAACTCTAGTTATAATCGAATAAGTCATTCCTCGACTGGTTCTAATTTTATTCTGATACCTGAGACACAGTCTGATAAAATTGTTGTTTACAAAACATGGCGGCGATCAATTAGAAACCCGATGAAATCCGAGGTATAATGACAGTATTACTTCATTATTTTTCTAATTTTGTTGTATAATCAATGTTTTGTGTAAAAAATAAACAATAAGTTCAGCCGACAAATTTGATTTTTCACCTAACTTCTGAAGAATTTCATGGAACTTGAAGATCATGTTTTTGTCTGTTTTGACGTGAATTTACACGGTTGTCAAGAATTTATTATGTTGAAAGCATGGCCAATCAAAGGTTTATTTCAGATGTCTTTATTTTAGATTTCAAAGCCTGTATCTGTTTAAACATTGGTCCACAAACTTTAAAGTGCTTGAATATAGGAAACTCATTATGATTATCTTGAGAATTTGTATCTTCATCTTGAAACTAATGATAGTTTTGATAATATCCTAAATCAGACGGTGACCAAGATGTCATATTTCTGACTGGCAAACCTTAAAAAGACCACTTGGATATATTGGCTATTTTTTCTTTTCTCCTGTTAAACTGTGAATCGGGCGATCCAGGTTCTGTTCCTAGATGTTGCAGGTCACTTTTGTTGGGATTGATCATTAAATATCCTACCGTGACCCAAATTCGGCGTTCTCCTAAATTCGGCGATGTTTTGTTTTTCATCATTCACGTGAGATTTCAGAGGTGAAGGTCAATCATGTTTATGTCCCACGGTCTATTTTTACAACTCCAGTGATTTTCTGCTCTAAATATGGAGATACGGCTGGTAAACATTAAAAATTGTATATGACATGAAGAAAATTGTGTGTTTTACCTGATGCAATTTCAAGTTTATCTATACTTTCCTCTATTTGATTGATATTGTTGCTTAAAATAATTTGACAGTTGCCGTTTTTTATCTAATATAAAACTAACTATTTTTACTGCCGATCTAGGTCAACATACTACGTCACAATCCCGCCAAAATAAAAAAATTACTGCAACCAATCAGAATCGCCGAATTTAGGTGACGTTTTCAGATTTAGTAAGATTTTACATCAGCCATATTTGTTTATATTTGGCAACCGCTGAACAATTACATTGTTAGAAATCAACTTAAAGTAACTTATAAATATTTGTAGTAAATTATATCAAGTATAATTATAGATTACTGTAGTTTATTGAAAAAGCCATTGACATTTGTTCTTATATCGCCGAATTTAGGTTACACCGGGATACTCTCTAAGGTCAATTTCACTGTACATCTGCCCTTGCATGTATAGAAATTAACAGTTCGATCCTTGTGAATGTCAAGGCAAGAAGAAGTACTGGTATTGGTAAAGCCTGCCCAGGAACAATGTGGTGGCAGGACTGTGCTCCGGTAAATTCATTGTGGCTTACTGCCGTGATCTGGAGTGAAAACTACCAACACCACCACGGTACCACCCCAGAGAGGAGATTAACAACTGGATGAAAGCAATAAATGTTTTGATAAGGGAGTACACTACAACCAATAATGCAAATTATTTGTAAGCTTTAACTGCGGCATTGGCTCCACAAACCTGTCACAGTATAAAGACGGGCATGTTGAAGACCTTCAGCTACAATCAATATATCTTTGCCTGCTAAACATTGCATAAAATTTGCAGTATACTACATGTGTTATTGGAAGTGAACATGCTTTCAAATTGAATGTATCCAGAATGAAATATACAATGTAACTAAAACATTTGACATATTGGTTTGAATAAAATTCATATGCATGCACAATGGTTTTAAAACCTTAAGCAATTGTTTGTAGTGTATGGTTGGTTTTGTACATTACATTTCTACTTTTTCAAGGAGTCAAGACTTGAGAAATAAACAAAACTGGTGTCAAATCAAGGGCTGAATCTAGGACATCTGAAGTTCAAGATATATCTTTTTTGCATATGATCCTTGTCTATGAAAATTAATTTAATATCCCTTTAATATGATTTATTTGGATGAAGAGAAACTTTTTTTTCTTTTGTGGTACAATATTTTAAGTTCTCTCTTTTTCCTGAAACATTTGAAGCTTTGGTTTTGACAAACTAGTTTAAAAAAAATATGTCAAACTGGGGAAGTCAAACCAATTCTCTACAAAATTTTAAAAATCATTTTTAACACTAACATACACTGTTAATTTGTGTACAATACAAATATATAATATATAACATATATGAAATAGAAGTGCTTTTATTGAAGACCATGCTCCAATTGTTGAAGAAATTCGCTGTTATATATTTACTGAATCAGTAAAAGTTAAATCCCATATTCTATCTTTTTTATTTACAAAATTTCTTAGCTTGACCATTACTAAATCATAAAATGATAAAAAATTTCTAAGTAATTGTAAACTTCTTTTATGATTATTTGTACGTACAGATTTGATATTCTATTCAGTTTGATGATATTTGTGACATCACAATCTTTATCTTAAACCAGGCTTCAGTTTTAGGGAAAATTTCAAAACAGGGAAAACCACATGATCAGACAACATATATATTCAGACTAATCTTTGTCTGCACTGGTTGCATGGGTAAAATCAGTTACTGCCCGCATGTGAAGAGTCTTAATGAATCATTAATTGGAAATATCAATTTCTTCTAGACACTAGTAATGTAGGAATAAGACATAGAAATACAATGTATTCACTTCACCTTTGATTATTTTCCTTAACGATAAATGACCTTTTTTTTTATATAAATATTACATTTAATAAAAATATTACATTTAATAATAAATAGTGATCATGATTGTATATTTGTATTGTAAATGTCTTTATTGAAATATAAAAAAAAAGTAATGAATAAATTACATTTATGTCATCTACATGTACTGCATATGCATAATATAAAGTTTGTACTTAGATCGTGAGATCTGTCACAAATCATTATAAATGGTTCATGTACTTTGTTCTGTATAATGTATAGACTGTAAATTTATGGTACATGTATTTTAAGACGAAGGGTTCATAGAACATGTTCATGTTATATCTTGAATCCTGAATGTAGTTCATAATAATTTTACAGAATCTAGGCAGCTTATAGAGTCAATAAATATTTAATTGTCTTTCAATCTCCTAGAAAATCTAATTTTGAAGAAGAAAAAAGAAAATGTTTGCTACATGCATAAAGTTGTTTTTTTTTTCACTGACTAAAACATTATCACAGATTTTTCGCATAATTATGCTTTACTCATCAATACTGGTATTGTAAAAGAATGTCAGTTTTATGCATTTAAAAAAAAAATTCAACTGAGTGAAAGAATCTTAAAAATCCTCATTGGAATTCATCTTCAATTTTCACCACATAACATTCAACATCCTATAATGTGTAACTACCATTCATTAGATCTGTCTATGTTTCTAAAAATAAACGTGTTTCCTTCTTTCTGGTGTTGAGGCATCTCCATAAATAATGCTTTCTTTACTTGTCCAATTTCTTTGCTCATTTGGTTTCCCATAAGTTTTCTTCGCCCCTCCACTACACCCTTCATATTTGAGAGGCTCTCTTGTAACTCAGTGAATCCCTTTCTGAACTCCATTTTAGCACGAGATAATTCAGCGTCGTTGTATTGTAAGGAATCTTGAAGTGTGGCCATTACTTGGTTTTCAATATTCTGTTGGGTAGAAAAGAGACACACTTATGAATAATAACATACTTCAATGTACCAGGATTTTTTTGATTTTTTTTTTACATTGTAAACCAGGAGAAGTTTAATAATCTTTTTAATAGGAAGTGTTTTAGAGGGGGTCATTTCAAACTATTAATGTAGATGTTGAAATAGAAATGATCACTAGCCGCAAGTGTTGGCTTTTTATGATACCATTCTTACTTGGAATTGGTCTTAAGCTATAAGTTTCTGGCTTTGATACTGGCTTTAGTTAATTTGCTTCCCTGATGTTGGTAAGTATGATATGAGAAGGCAGGGAAACAGTGGCAAACCCAAAGTTAAATGTTACAAGTTAAGTGATTGTTTACTAACAGCTAGTTGGATTCAATTAGAACTCTTCATCAATTATTCATAATCAATACTTAACCAAGGGATAAGTGCTCTGATTAAGCTATCTATTTGGTCCAAAATTCAGCATGAATCTATTTCTAAAAGAATTTATAAAGTTCTACAAGACTTGTTGATTACTTTAAATGCTAAAAACAGTCAAGCCCTTTCTTTTGTTTGCACCTTCGATACCGAATAACTTTAATGACCTTCTCCATCTTTCAATCTAGACAAAATTGTTCATCACAGTTGTCACTTTTAGAGAAATTTTCAAAGTATTACTATCTGTATAGTGAATTAAACAGTCCATGATCAGATGGCATGAACATGGCAGCTGATCTTGGTCTGCACTGGTAACTTGGGTGGAATTTTTTGCCACCAGCAGGCTGAGGTTAAAGGAAACATAATTTGAGTATAGATTATAGAATGTACACAAACTTACATGTTGTATATCCTTATATCTATTTTTGTCGTGTGACATCTGCTCCTCTAGTTTGTTCAGACGTGACAATATCGACATCATATACTGCTCTACTTGACGGTCTACCTGACTCTGTAATATATTTTATATAGTCTGTAATATTTCTTATATAGTCAAAAATAGAAATTTTGAATGTAGAAGTTTGGCCGACTCGGTAAATTTTAAAATGTTGCAGGCTTGGTTTGATTGATCCTGTTCTTGGACAGCAATGGTAAAACTCCCCCTAGCACTAGCTTAAGTAGAATACATTCATAACAAGAATCACTGTTGTGCTGAATGATCTTCAAGGATCAGAAATATAACAATGGAAAACAAGAAAATTTTGTAATTCATAACATAACTGCATAAAAAATTATTTCACTGCAAAAATTCAATTTTTAAAGAAATTCCATAATTGTACATGTACATGTATGCTTGCTAGTCATGGTATTGGTTCATTTTTGTTTCCAACAACAAAATGTTGTTTCAGAGATTACACCCTCCTAGTAAAATCTTTAAAATGATTTTGAAGCAAAGAAGACATTTCGATTTGAAAAGGTCTTAAAGAGCCATAATAAATTTACTACATTAATTTTGTGACTTTTGATAAAGGGTTTGATATAAGTAACAGTCCTACCATAAGATCACCCCATCCAGCAGTGGCCTTGTCAATCATGGCTTTAAACTTGGCTTCCATACGTTCTAGGTAGTGATCAATGTTTGACTTGTTTCCATCCAGGGCATCTCTAAACTCGGCCATGTTCTCTCTCTGTTTGTCTTCTAGCATGTTAATTCTATGAAGAGCGTCGCTACGGAGATGGGTTAACTCAGAACGTTGAGATGTGGTCTGTCGTTCTAATTCTCCAGTCATTGAAATCACCTAAAAATAAACAAATTCCAGAAATGAGGTATATGAAACCTTATTAAGTTGTCTAACCCTCAGCCATTGAAATCAACAGATGCATACTGTATTGAAGTGTGTTTTTTTTCAACAAAGGTATTTAAAGCGTTTTTCTCGGATTGTGTTGATAGTTTAACCAGCCCTCAGTTTTCAATTTGTAAATTTAAAAAATAATCTGCAATAAAGGATCAGCAATTAGATTTTAAGTGCAATGATCAAGTCATAAATTCAAACAGTTCTTTATCATTTTCAATACTCAATAATTTAAGCCATAAACCATAAGCCATAAGCCATAAACATTGTACAAGTACTGTACCAATGTCTCTTATCATAGCATTAACTATGGTGATAATATCAATGTATCAATGGTCAATTATGTGAAAACCTGTAATTTATGGTTTTCTAATGTAGCCAGGTTCTGGTTTCATAATATAAAATATGTTGATGTGATCCTTAAACAGACTTGAATCTGAGATCTTGGTTTGACATATAGACGCAGGTGATCATAACCTCTAGACAACTGCTTTCCTCTAATATCATTAGTGTCTGTAAGGAATGTTATCTAGATATTTCCCTTTGAATTTCATCAAATAATATTCGTCTTTTATTGATACTTGGATAAAAATGTTAAGTTCGCTAGCTTGATTTGTTTGGGTTTTTTTTGCAGGTATATGTTGAAGTATGTGAAATTAATTTTACATTTTCCTCCATCAAGCTATCAACCATCTACTCCAGGTGTAATGACATTGTTTTGGTTGATGTAGAGATAGGGACTCACTGATCTCCGTGTATTGCTGATATGTTTGTTACATCTCAAGTTTATGCTTTTTGCAGTAAAGTGTTTCTTGCCTATATTTGGGAAAGCAGTTCTTTTGTTTTTTTTTGCAAAGTACTCCATTTACAAAAAAAATATATAAATCAAATGAGCATGACTCAGGCATGACAAAACCAACATAGTGCGTTTGCGACCAGCATGGATCCAGACCAGCCTGCGCATCCGCGCAGTCTGATCAGGATCCATGCTGTTTGCTATCAGTTTCTCTACTTGTAATAGGGTTCATAAGCGAACAGGATGGATCCTGATCAGACTGCGCGGATGCTCTGAGGCTGGTCTGGATCCATGCTGGTCGCAAACGCATTACGTTGGTTTTGTCGTGACGCGGCTCAAATATAGTTTTGATGTTTTAAATACCATGAATGGTAGGAAGAGCATTGGTAATGTTCATTTAAATGTCTGATTTAATCTCTGCAGACTCTTGACCACAGACACTTAATGTGTGGAGGTTTATTAAATTTTTTTATTTTTTCTTATTTTTGTAAATCTCAACACTGAGTAATCAATGGATATTGGGTGATAAATATACCTTCATTTTTTAGAATCATCTCTCAATATCTAAATTATATACAATATTTCTTTTCAAGTTTAACAAACCAGCATTTAGTCATCCATATAGTGCTAGGATTTGAAATTAATAAAATGAAAAGTGAAAAATTTTAGTCTAAATTATAAGTGTGTTAATTGTCAAGGTTCACACTCAAGTGGTTCTGTTCCTTATTTATGTCTCCTTGAAGCTCAGCCAATTTCTATGAAACTTTACAAATTTTCATAAAACTGTACATATTTTCATAACACTTAACGCAATAAAGTAAAACTTTATTCATGACTGTTTTCACATGTACTCTATATACTGGTATCTTGTTACTGGTATATGTCAATAAAATATATCAAATATTGACATAAAATGATTTAGTGATTTTATTGTAACATATATGATTGTTTGATTTAGTGATTTTATTGTAACATACATGTATATGATTGTGTGCTACCTTGTAAAACCCCTGGAATCACTGTAGTTATAATGTAAGTTTAACTATAATTTATTGAATATTTGAGAAAAAGCATGTAAGTTTAAAAAGGTTTATTAATAATTTTCTTTAAGAGCTTATCATTATTGGTCTGTATTTGAGACCATCTCATGTACATGTTGTACTGAAATTTGACATTTTGATGTTTCATTGAAATTGGTAGATAGTGTAATTTACATACACTTTAAGAAGATGAATAACTTACTTCTGCGTACTGTTCACTGAATACTGGTAACTGAATACTGGTAACTTACTTCTGCCTCAAGCCAATGAATACTGGTAACTGAATACTGGTAACTTACTTCTGCCTCAAGCCAATGAATACTGGTAACTGAATACTGGTAACTTACTTCTGCCTCAAGCCAATGAATACTGGTAACTTACTTCTGCCTCAAGCCAATGAATACTGGTAACTGAATACTTGGTAACTTACTTCTGCCTCCAAGCAATGAATACTGGTAACTTACCTTTCTGCCCTCAAGCCAATGAATACTGGTAACTGAATACTGGTAACTTACTTCTGCCTCAAGCCAATGAATACTGGTAACTGAATACTGGTAACTTACTTCTGCCTCAAGCCAATGAATACTGGTAACTGAATACTGGTAACTTACTTCTGCCTCAAGCCAATGAATACTGGTAACTGAATACTGGTAACTTACTTCTGCCTCAAGCCAATGAATACTGGTAACTGAATACTGGTAACTTATTTCTGCCTCAAGACTAAGTACAACTTATATTTGCCTCAGCTCAATAAATTTCTTATTTCTGCCCTAAGTTGATAAAGAACTTACTTCTCGCTCAAGATGATAAATAATTTACTATGATGAAACTTCTGGATCAAAATGGCAAAAATTAACTACTACTTCTGCCTCAAGATGATAAAAGTTAAACAAAACTTTATCTTTAAACTTACTTCTGCCTCAAGACGATGAATATCTCCAGAAAGTTTTTCACGGCTATTTTGCAGCGCCATCTCTAGGCGACGTATCTCGTCCATGAGATAGATAATATCTTTGGTGTGTTTACCGATGGCGTTGTCACACCTGACGATACGACCTCGTAAATCTTGTAACATGGTCACATGATGCACTTCCAGTTTGTTCACTGCCTGGTTTGTTCCCATAACAGCAATGTCTCGACCATGTAGCTCTGCCAGTATACCCTTTAAAAAAGGAAAATGTTACCATTTTATTTTTAGTGTCAAATTCATTGTGTCATAGATAAGTAATGAAGGGGTTTGCTGGTTCATTCCTAAGGGGGAGGCAAAATTATAACTGATCTCATATACAGGGTATTGAGTACCTATTTGTCTCTCAATGCTGATTCAGAAATATCAGTAGTCTGTAGTCTTTCATTAGCAGAGACATTGGTAATTAGCAGAGAAATTGGTAATTAGCAGAGAAATTGGCAATTAACAGAGAAATTGGCAATTAACAGAGAAATTGGAGATCATTGGAAAGTTATTCAGGGATGTCAGTTCAGTAGGTGGAATGACTACTGAGATATGACTTAATGATTTGTTAAAATGGTTGTCAAAAACAGAAAATCAAAACAAACCAATTTGCAAAATCACAATGTAATGCAAATTTGGGAAATACTGGGAAACATTCTATGAAATAGTTTTTTATACATTTATATCTCTCATGGCTTAAATCGAATTAATGTCATGATTTTTTTTTAAACGCTTTGATACTGACTTTCATTTGCCACCAGTACAGAGTAAAAGCGGACCAGTACATGCAAATCTGACTCTACAATTTCAGCTGCTTGATTTTACTTTAATATTTGATTAAGTTATCAAGGAAGGGATGAAAAACAACACTTCAGGAACACCAGAGTGGGTTTAATATTTAAAGTTAAATAACAGCTCCAATTTCAAATACCAAGGCCTAGTCTGTCACATTAAATAAGAGTTTTATTACTCACTTCTTAAAAAATGTTACAAAAATCTGTTAGAACTTGGATAATTTACATGATTATAAATTAAAAAATAGGAAGAAAGGAAATGTCTTATAAAATGAATTTAATGAACATTTACAATAAATTATGAGGTCATTTAACAAAGTAATGTTTTGCTTGTCAAAAGAAATGGACTAATAAATTCTAAATTTCAGATCAATATATTTACAAATACTGGTATGTCTTAAAATATGATTTTTACATTTATAATTAAAAAGTCATTAGTTGTTTTTATGAACTGTTTACTATATAGAGTTGAATTGAAAAGTACACTGTTGAATAAAGGATAGTATTTTGATTCTGACCTTTTTTAAAATTGTTCATTCAACCATTTTTAATTCACAACATATTGATTTTCAGATCATGTCTGTTTTGTAAGACAGTTATTTAAATTCATGTGTGTTTGAAATCAGTTTAAAGATGCATTTAATAGTGAGTGCAGACTTTTCGAATGTTTGCATGATCACTCCCTTATTTACATCTGCATATGTAATGGCAAATTATATGCTTTGCAAACTGTTTTCCTCAAAATATTTACCATGTTACATGACTGTGGTAACCGTAATCTTGATATTAATCAAGCGCTTTTAGTGTATAAATTATTTTGAGCATGTCTGAAAATGTATATTATTTCTTATCCTTTAATACAGATATTTTAAAAATATTAAGATTAAGAAATTTCTGCAACGTAAGGCTGCATGAACTAGAATGCTATAGTAACATCATAAAAATAAGGTCTCCAAAAAAAAAAAACAAGTCTGATAAATGACAATACCTCTATATCCGTGTTCAGCCTTTGTATGATAGCCACCATGTATTTCACATGTTGTTGTAAAAGGTCCCTGGTGTGATCATCCCATTCTGCTGCCTGAAAACAGAAATAACATTATATTTTGTTGTTCCACTTACTTGATATTTTCATACCTTCCAGTAGTAATAGACTGAAGTATTAACTGTGTTCTAGGCAGAACAATAACGTTTAAATGCCAAAGGCTCAGGTTTGAAAGCCAGAGAATACTAAGATTTGAAGGCCTAAGACTCTGGTTTGAATGCCAAATACTACTTAAAGGTTTGAACGTCTAAGGCTGAGGTAAAAATTGAAGGCAAACCAAGGTTTGAAGGCTAAGTACTACTAAGGTTTGAAGGTCTAAGACTGAGGTTTGGAGGCTCAAGATACTATGGTTTTAAGGCCAAAGACTTCTAAAATTTGAAAGTTGAAAAATTATGTTTGAAAGTCAAAGACTATGAAGGTTTTTCTTGATTTACAGGCTGGTGGCATAGAAAAGTTATTGTTATCACAAGCATTCAAATCATATTAATATATCAGTTTGTCCCTTACATAAACCTATAATACTGACCTGTTGATGACTTAGATTGGCCATCATGTTATCCTTGTTACTGAGGATCTGTTTTAGAAGTGCCTGGTTAAGGGCGTCATTCTGGCTTTTAAGATGATCAGCGATCTCATTCTGGCGTGCTGATACCTGCATCTGATGACTCAACAGCTGGTCCTTGAAAAAATAACTTATTTACAATTAGATTGTATTGCAATGTTTTCATTTTGAATCATTTCAATTTTCTAGTTCAAAGTTTTATGGAAAGGCCTTCTTCAAATATTCATAAAAATATCCATTGCTGCAATTTTCTTGAATCCTTAGACTCATAGACTGCTGGCACCAAATGATTCTACCCATGTGACCACTGAGCAGTGCTGACCAAGGACAGTCGGCACACAAAGCTGTTAAATAATTACACATAATTTAGAAATAACAAATGCATTTATTTATATGTTGTAAAGTTAGCTAGTACTTTAATATACATGTAATCTACAAAACTGCATACCACTTTATGACAAAATAGCATTTAAATTTAAAACTGAAATGTTGTAACAATGGGGTGTTGGTAGTTTTCACTCTGAATCACAGCAGTATTATAAAGCCACATTAAATTTACCATAGCACAGTTCAGCCACCACATCATTCCTGGGTAGGCTGTCAAGCATTTTACAAGTACTAGTTGCTCTCACTTTCTCAAGGAACTGAAACTTCTGTACATGCAGAGCAGAGGTACAGTGTAAATGACCATAGAAAGGTTTTCATGATCGTGACCTGCACCATCTGGGAATCGAACCCAGATCGCCTTATTCACAGTCCAACGTTCTTTCCATTGAGCTAACCGGATAGTGCCTGAAATGATGAGGAATATGTCCTTAGCTTAAAGACAACAATACCTGTCTAGAAACAAGGTCATCAAGTCTTCTATTGTTTCCATTTCCATTCTGTGCTGGTGACCTTTGAACTATTCGTTTTGTCACAACAGCTTCCTGTGGTGGGGTATCTGGGATATTCTGATTAAAGGGGTCGTCCACCTGTATGGCAGTAAAATCTTGTTTTAAGCGGCTTTTCCATAGGGTTGTTTTGTGGTAGAATGTACTAGCACTGTTCTGTTCTGGGAGCAAAAAATTTAAAATTTAACTTTAAATAGAATATGGTATAATTGGTATAAATAAAGATTAAACATTTAAATTTTTCATACTGTTTCAGACAAACGGTATTTGTTTGAAAAATTGACTTATATTGTTTTTACCTTCCTTTATATGACATATAAGCATGAAACATTTGAAGAAGTTATATTTTAGCCTAAGCATTGGATATTGTTTGAACACCAATTCTCTATTTTTATTATCTGAACCTTTATACATGTAATTTTAACAATACACTCATGTAGCAAAGTTTTTGTGGGAGGGGTAACTTTGACATGTACATTTAAAATAAGTAGTATTTAAATTATGAACCTTAAATAAGACAATTTAAGTATGTTTTTCTTTCTTTTCTTTTAGCTCTAGATATCTTGAAATCCTTAAAGTAAAAAAAAACAACAACAAAAAACGCTAAAAAACCAATGCATTACATAAATTCATCCAAACATAGTGGTTCAGGTTGGAACTATTTTATTTTTTTTATCAAAATACTTTACATTTACATAATATTATGTTAGACTATTTAAAAACAAATTAACAAGTGTTATAATTGAAAGAAAACATTACAACAATTTTCCCAGGCTTTTTAAAAGTATTTGAATGACTCTTAGAGAAAGAATTCCTCTACTTTTCTAATTTTGTCTGTCATAAAACCGTATTTGTTAGTTTATAAAACCACAGATGATTCTTTAAAATGTTTACAAATAATAAGAAAATTAATGAATCCAGAATTTGACAGCACAACAACCGAATCATTGAAAAGTTCAACACAATAACTCTTTACCCACCCAGTCGGTTAGAGCGTGAGACTCAACATTGTGGGTACTATTACTGGGCTGGCCAACTGAATTACTAATTAGTGTTTTGGAAAAGACTTAAAATCGTGGTCTTCCATTTGAGTGCTTAAACACTTGGCACACTAAAAATCCATGAGAAGCTTCTGGAATTAGGGCATCTTTCTGTATCTGTATCTTGCACTCTAAAATGACTAATACTCTTTTGGAGGACTTGCCCATATCAGCAACCAGTGGTGAGTATGAATAAACTTAAATACATACACAAATCAGCACCCATAACTAGTCTACAACTACCACCACCACCATCATCATCATCAGCACAGTCTCACTATGCCTTCTATATATAAAGAAAGGCCAAAGCCAGGCTATCCAAAAAATGTGCACATCAGCAACTTCTGATAAGGCTTTATAGATTTAGCTGCCAAGTACTTCTTATACTGAATTCCCTTTTACTATTAATGGACTGTCTCAAATTTACAGAAGAGCAAGTCCAATGTACAAATTTAAGAATGTAAGGGGATGTCACAGCCTGGCAATGATATCTTTATTTTATTTTTATTTATCCTTATTTCTTTATTGACTTTAACTTTCATTCTTTATGCAGTATAACTATTGAATGCAATAACCCCTATGAAAAATCAGACAAAAGATTAAACAATTCTTTTTCTACCTATTTCTTTAGATAATTTCTATTAACTATTATGCATCTGGATGCAATATTATATAAAGGTTGTTTTATTTAGTATTATTATGTTATACATTCATTCAAATACAAACAATATTACTGTAAATATTAATTTGAAGAAAATTTATATAAAGTAATTTATTTATTTTCATATTTCTGTTTATTTATCATGTCCTTTGCTAAATGTGTTTTTGTTTGTTTTATCATTTATTATTTATATTGATTATTATGAAAATAAGTTGATTTATTTCAATCTGCATTTCTATATAATATGAAAGATTTCACACATATTTTAATACTATGTAGTTATAAATTATTTGTTTCAATGCGGACAACCACAGGTTAATTGTAATTAAAACCATGGGATAAGCATTCTTGCAAAGTTTTCAGTTTTAAAAAAAAATCTTTTTTAAAAATTACTTCATACTTAAATAGTTTTTAATGATTATTGAATATCTCCATTAGATTTTAATTTCCCTCGCTAAATATTGACATATTAATGGGTATCAGAAAATTCTAGAATTCCCAAATATTCATATTTTGTGTTAGTCTAATAATTGTTCAGAATTCTTCAAATGAGTAATTTCTGTGAATGTGTTACCTTTGTAGTATCTTTTATCCCTTTTCACTGAAATAAGATGTATATTTTGAGATCTGGGAATCACAAGTTATTCCATGAATATTTTCTTCTTCATCAATCTAAGTTTCATTTTAAATTTTATTATCCTGCAACAATTTTAATGTTATTAAATAAATTTTGATAAATTTTTATTCACAAAAATCTTTCATATGGGATTCCTTTTCTTTTCATAAATTCTTTCACAAAATTAAGAAACAATTTTCAACTTCAAATTTCATTCTCTTTTGGATTAATCTCTTAACTTCTTTTTTCTATAATGTCTAAACTTTATCATAATCTCTAACGAAAATTTTCATCACACACTTTCATGATGAAGAAAGTTTGTTTATATATGTTTTCGCCAAACGGTTTTAACCCATTGATGGGAAATGAAAAGCCGGTGTTTATATGTTTGCATGATATAGGTTTCATATTATTCTACGGTATTCAGCCCATACAAAAGTACTGAATGGTCCAATTATATCAAATAAATACAGTGAAATTGATAGTTCATTCGAAGACTCATTTCAAAGAATCAATTTTTTCCGTGTTCTTTAAATTATTCAATATGATTACTCTGATCTTATGTAGTATCTGATGTATATGATGTATTTTCTACTCCTTTATATTTGTAGTGGAATTTCATTCGTTTTATTTGATTTAGTGGTGATGTAGATTGACTTTATTCAATTACACTGCATGCCTTTTCCAAAACCAAATGATTTATTTACTCTATTTATAAAGATCTTATCTTTTAAATAACATTAATAGATACTTATCTAATATGAGTGAACATGATATAGATAAATGCCATCTTTGAATTCCATGTTTCAAAAAGAGTGTCCTTTCCAAGTTGTTGATTAGATTATTGGCGTCAATTATCATGATAACGCTGTATTCTCTTTCAAAGAAATACTTAATAATTAATTCAAAATGAAATTCTTTTACCTGAATGTTGGGTTTATTTGGCCAACTGGCCGTGCCTCAGCTATTCATGTGGCATGGGTCGTTCCCAAGTTGCTGGGTGACTCTCTTTGTATAACTTAAATGATAATAAAATTTTCTCTCAAAACATACAATATTTTGTAATCCAATAATTCATACAAGTACAGCCAAAATTAATGTTTAGAAATTAGAGTACTACATGTATATAGGAGTATAGGTGTAGAGTAAGGTTACCATGAGATTTCCCTTAAATGAAAGTAAATTGATACCTGTTTTTTTTAAATCTATAGATCTGATATACTTCGAAGAAACTTAAAATTAAATGTAGGTTTTCCTCATCTAATATTACATTAAAACAAACTTTTATAGTTACAACTTCGTAAATTTATTAATTACATGCGCAACACTTTGATCTCTCTTTTGTGAATGGCAGTGCACTATGAGGCTATTGTACCCAACAGATCAGATAGGCAAAAACCCATATGATATTTACCAGTTCTGGTGATTATCTGTTGAGAAATTCAGAGTTAATTTTGGCCTTTTTTACCTTTTTAACCATTGAATGCTTGTGGTGCTTGTGACAGTTTGACCAGACTCTATTATTATCATTGCTTGTTTTGTGATTTTAAAGGCCCATTATGTCTCAGAAATCAGTAAAATTTTAATTCTTTAGGAAGGACAAGCATGTGTTTAATAATGTTTTAATTATGGATTTAGAAGTAGTTACATGTTATTAAACAACGGAAGATAGTAACAATGAATGTGCAATAATGTGTGATAAAAAGGTTGCAAAATGTAAACTAAGTAGAATTTTTTAACTTCCATACAAAATGCTGAATCACTATAATTATTCCAATTACTAAAGAGCAAAAAAAGCAAAAGATAATTCATTTATATGGCCAATCAGGGTAAATTTTTGGAAGCTGTAACAAGATACCAAAGATAAAAAGTTTTTAGAGAAATAAAGTTGATAGCATTTTGAAAGCTTAATGGGCCTTTAACTTTTTTATACTCAAATCGCTCACAGAAACAATAAAAAGTTCCAGCTTTCAAAACAAGACATGCCCATTATACAAATTTAGCTTGGTAAAGAGTAACATAATAATGTTTGTATATGTTTTAATTTTTTTAGACAGCCAATGATTTGTACTGATCAATGGTGAAATATTTAAATCCTACAATCAACAAATTGCATATAGAAACTGAAGCAGAATTTATGCAGGCTGTATTTATTTCTTTATGTATAAAAAATTTATGTTTTACGTCATTTTGTGACACAGTCAGTCTCCCAGTTATACGTTAAATGAGGCAATGAGGTGTGCGAAATGCTGTTAAAATACCTCATCTATTATACAATAATAGAAAACCCATTGTTGATATTGATGTAATTCTCATGTGTCCGGTGGTTTGTTATGACTCTAATGTATTGTTGTTTTATAAACATTGAATTATTCATGTTTCAAATTCCTGTATTGATTGTATATTAACATCATATTATTCGTGCAATTATTGGTCAAATTGTTTAAACATTTTTGAAAATCCTTGCCTAGCGTCAGGTGATGATACTAATATTGGATAATGGATTGATATGAAACTCGATTAGTAACATAATTAATGTATAACTGAATATAGCACGTAACTGATTTTGTTCTCTTTATTTTATTTTTTTTAATGCTGAAGATTTTTAAGGAAATTTGACTTAGTATGTACACTTTAAAACTGTTTTAGATTGATTTTATCAGGAGACATTTTTTAAAAGAACTTGACCTTAGCATTGATTTTTTTTGTTTTTGTTATTTTCAGGTAAAGATACATAAAGTAAGTCTGTGGACCAACTAAATACTGGAATTGTTATTGTACAATCATTTTGAAATAGGAAAGAACAAACATTTTTTTAGAGATATTTGACTGACAAAGTATGGCAGGAAGAAACCGGTCACAGTTACGTGCCCCTTATGACACCGGAGATGAGAATCTTGACAAACTCCCTCCTACAAGTCGGAGAAACGGAATACCTCCTGGATACACAGGCAGAAATCGTTATGACTCGCCGAGGTTACGATCACCAAGAAACAGCGAACACCAATCACGCGGACCCTCAAGAAATCCCTCAAGACTCGATATTCTAGAGGAAAGAATTGCTCAGCAGGAGAAAAACTCTCAGGCTTTAATTGAGCGAGCTTTCAAAACTAAAGAAGATGTGATAGAAAGTTTGAACTTTACACATGGAACATGGCAGGAAGAAAAACATGCACGCAACATGCTTCAGGAACATATACGCACCATAACGGCAGTCGTGAACCGGCTGAACAACGATATTGCTGTGAGTATATTTTAATATTTTGACAAGGGAACCAGTTTTACAATGGGATTAAGAATATAATATACTTACAACAAATTGTATTTGTCCCTGACTGCTTATAGCTGGAATTCTTAAATAATGAATTTTTTTTTTTTTTTTTTTTAAAGTTAGTAAGATAGCTGCGAGGTCAATGGTTACCATACTCATAGTTACAAATGTTACTTAATGCCTTTGGTAACATGACAACATTTTCTTCTATTTCTGTTCTCCACAGGGTATAGACGAAACAATCAGAACACGAGACTCTGCAGCGATCGGTACAAATACGGCAGTCAAGAATCTTGAGGTTCATCATGTCGCCACATTGACTGACCTTAGAGGGCGTATCGTACGCTGCGACACTTCTCTAGCTAAACTATCACAGGAGATACGACAATGTTTCGAGTCAGTAAAACAAGTTAATCAGACACAGCAGGACCAACAGAACAGAGTACTGGATAGAATACACGAGTTAGAATCTAAGGTATGAAAAATTAGAATCATTATAACTGATTTTCAAATGGTTGCAGTGAAAAAGTACAAGCTATGCTGCCACTATAGAGCCAGGCTTGCCTGCTCATCTCTGCAGTCTGATCTGGCTCAATGTTGTTGTTTTTTGCTTTTTTTTATGCCCAATTTAACACATATTTTGGTCATACTTAGGCAGTCTATGAACCTAACTGCCTTTCCTGGATTACTAACCAGTAATTACCATTTTCTCTCCAAGCAACAGGTGGCTTATCCCAAATGATTTCTGAGTCAGTGGTGAGAGTCATTTAAATGACCATGATATACTTAATGTCCAGGGATCATTTGTCGGAGAACAATATTGCCTGCCTGAAGATTGAACCAGCGACCATGAAAGTCTTCAATAAAATTCTGCTCAGTTTCGTTTATATAACATGTATTTCTATGATATATATTTTTAGTTGTTGCACATCTGGTATGTGAGATCATTCTAATGAACCGAAGATGAAGTTACAGCATCTAGAGAGTGATTCTAACCAGCAGATTGCCCAGCTAGACTCTCGTACTCGTCAAGTCATTGACGATCTGAAAAACAACATACACACATACCAGAATCACGCAGATGTTGAACGGGAAAAACTTGAACAGAAACTCTCACTGGCACTCGATGCACAAGCCCAGGCCAGAGATCAGTTGATGGTTAGTGTATAACATAAATAAACATTAAGGTTCTTGTTCATATACTCTGCACAAATATTTAAGTGAAATTATTTTTTATGTGAAATTATTACCTTAAAATGTTGACATTTTTGTAATTCAATAATTTGAGTGCAAATACTGCAACAATCTGCTTCATCTATATAGACTAGGGCCTGTGTGCCTTACATGGTGCAGGACTGTTTTGAACATTGTTGCAGCGAATGATTAGCATTTTGAAATTAAAAACCACACATTAACAATGCAAAGGACAACAGAACAAGTTTATTCTACCATTTTAAAGCATGAAAAAAGTTAGAATTAAGCTGCATTAATAACGTTGAAATGAGGGCTATGATAACATCTGAACCTGTGGAGTTGTGTTCAAGTTTCATATTGGTTAATATTTGTGACTAAAAATCAGTTATTGAAGGGCACCTTTGATCTCCACCAGTAAAGCTGGTAAATTTCCATATGACCTAAACATTGCTGAAGTGACTTGAAACAAAACCAAATATATGAACAGAGTCTATCAAACAACATTATAAACAATGTTTCCATGGTTACAGGAGAAATTGAACCAGAAGGTAGATGAGATGCAGTATTTGATGGATCAGCGGATGAGGAAGATGGAGGATATGATAACAGCCGAGTCAGAGAGACTTAAGAGATGCAAATAAACTTTAAACCATCACCCATCTGTAGTTTATTAGGTTAGTGTACTGAAAAGCTATAAGGTAGTGTGAGAATCACTCTGAATCCGTTCCTGGAACCAGGACGGCGATACTCGCATAGCTGAATGTAAATTGCCTTGCTCAAAGGACCCCTACAGGTATTGAACCCACAGTGTTCAGCAATCCTAGATTACTAGTCCGACTTGATAACCACTTGGCCATGCCGTCACTCACCATCTTAAATGGAATTATCCTTTCAATCTAGACAAAACTATTCATCATTTCAAGTGAAAGTTCAAATTTATCTACTGAATAGCAAAGCAATGGAGATCATGATCAGATGGCTCAGATCTTGGTCTGAGGCTGATCACATGGGCATATTCAGTTGCCAACAGCAGGCTCACGGTTAACTATAGTTGTAATGATAGTCAAAGTATCAATCTAATCTTGAATGCAGGAGGCACTATAGTTCCTAGTAAAATCAGATAATACTTTTGTCAATAGAAAATATGGACTATCAGTTTTAATGATTATTTTTGTTACTGAAAAAAACAACTAATTTTCAGGTCTAATCATAACTGATAAAATTTGTAATGCTTTACCTATGCAGAAAAACTTGAGATCCATGTAGTCAAGTTTTTCAATACATGCATGTATCGATATCACAACTATTTTGAATGACCATGATTTCTGGACATTGGCTGTTTCATACAGACATGCATGAACATTTGTGTTTCCTCTGAAAAAGCTGAGTATCATCTGCCAGCTTAGTACCATTTCACAATTTCAACAATCAAAATATCAATTTAGAAAAGCTGAATAGTCATTGAATAGTCTTAAAACGTCAGAAAGACTTAACCAACATTTATGATTTATATGATGTCTGATTTTTTTTATTCTTCATTCTATGAAACTTGTATGACAATTTCTAAATTTGTTTCAACAGCACCTGGAGAACAAGGTTATTACACGACTGGACGGCTCTCTTCGACAGCAACATGACGAGATCGCCAAGGTGAAACGCGACACGAGGGACGGCTTCTCAACTGTTCATGAGAGTATCAGTAATATGAAGACTGTGATGGAAGGAAAACGTAAACTTCTCGAAGATCAGTTACGCAAAGAAATTAGCCAGATCAGAAAAATGGTGGTCCTTGTGTGATGATAAGGAAAAATGTGGCAGGGAAGGACACATAGGACAGATGGGAAATGTGTTGAAATATAACAGCTTACCATGTGTTCCCTAATAAACTCCCACTAAAATATGTAGACAAGCAAATAATGATTTATAAACTATAAAAGCAAGAACAAATGAATTTTGTGATCATATGCCTACTTTTTTGACTTAAAGTTTTTTTAAAGACATATTTTTTTACAACTATAAAGTACTGAAAATAGTCAAAGGGGCTGTCTTTTAAACAGTTCCAGTTTAATTTTATTGCCTTGGTGATTTTTTTTCCTTTGTTCGGTTCAGAAATTTGATTATTCAATTCACAAAACTTGTATGCTTATGTCTCTTTTTTATTGAGGGGAGGTTTATAAGGGAACATATGGTAAACCATGTATATCTCGATTCTAATGCAGTTTAAATGGCAGTTTAAGCACAAATTGTAATGATGTAATTGAAGATGAGTATCATCTTTTAGTAATATCACACTACTGAACTTTATTTTCATTTTGTTTCTTTACAAACAGATTATTTGCCAAAAATATAGCACATGGCAAATTTTTTATTTTATTCATTTATTTACATTTATGTACATGTATTTATTAAGATAGAGCTTTTTATTTAAGATTGAATATATTTAGAGCTGGCCAGAAGCCGGAATTTTATTTTACTTTCGAAAGTGATTTGTATATGAAGCTATTATATAAAGATTTTTTGTTTGCAAATCATGACAAATTACTTGTTTTGATTATCATTGTCTTATGAAAATATTGATACCTCATTGTAAAATGGTTATTCACCATATGGAGGTGAGAATACATTTGTTTTACTTTTAAACCTTGGAACTGAAAACAGTTGATTTTTATGTTAGAGTAGATATTGTTTTTGTCTAGTAAATGTTGACTTAAGTTTCAAACAGAAAATAGCTAATATTTATATTAATCAAGAGGAATAATTTTGCCTATAGTAGAAAAAGAAAGTAATAAACATATGAAAGGTATAGGAACTAGATGCATCACCGTAATTAGACATTTTTCATTCCATTTTTTTTTTTTTTTTCAAGAAACATAATTTTTTTACAAAACAAGTAGTGAATATAAAAGGTAGGGAGCACTTTGACAGAGGGAGAGAAAGAGAGCACTTTGTTTTATGAGAAGTATGCATGAAAATGTCAAACTAGCTACACAAAATGTTGACACTAAATGTCCATATCAAAGAGAGACAACCTTTGTACTACTAATGTTGACATTAAAGGGAGAGAAGTATGTTTGTTTCACTTTTCAAGGTTTATTTTAAATATCATTATTCATCGAGTTAAATATATAGTAGTTAAATACAGCAAAATAATCAAAATCACATGTACAGCATAGGACTTATTGTCAAATTCTTGTCTTGTTAAAGTTTATTATATATTTTATATTAAGATTTTTTATGACATACACAGAGTTGTTTTATTCTAAGATAAACATATTATTTAATTATGAGGGAATTATTTATTTACATGTAAATAAAATATTGAAATATTAGGCCAAAGCTCAGCCCTTTTACCAAAGTCATTTAAAGAAATACTTGCCTGGTATTTTTCTTTTCTTTTACAGCATTTTTTTTCTTTACAATTATGTGATTTTATTGTTTGGCATCAGCGATGGTATCTTTGTATTTATAATCAGTTATTAAACATACTTTTTTAATGATAAGTTACAATATATGGTAACTAATTAAAATTTCATGATCTTATCAATCATTCCTATAGAAATACAGTCCACCTTGTGCATAAGGGCCACCTGTTAAAACTATATTCATAAAAGGCTCATAGAGAAGAATGGGCATGCCTAACTATGTTGCCTCTTTAAATAAAGTCTTTATTATTATTATTATTAAAAACCTGATTACATGACCCATATTCTTTATGTCAGATTCACAAAATTACATAACTATTTACCATAACAATTTTGACTATGCTACCAGTAGCAGGCTGGAAAGCTATTTGGAAACCTTCCTCACATAAAGGAGTGGTATTTGAACAAATAGTGGTAATAGGCAAGTGATTTGTTGTTCTGGGACCTTCCCCACATGGCCATAGAGGTCAATATGTAAAGCTTAGACTGTATTTCTAAGGTGTTTTTTTTAATTGATGTTATAACTTTATTCTTAGTTCTAGAACTTTATAATAGATAGATGAATATATATCAGTGTGTTCAGCTAGAAAATAACATATTACTAATACTGTGCAGATAACAATATAGGGGTCAAAATGGCACCATTAATATAATAAGGTATTACCACCCTAACGAGGACTATACGGAACTGAAAAATTTATATCATAGGTCAGATATATACCTTAAAGTACACTTGTAATCAAAATTTAAAGAAACTTTACTGTACGGAAATCGAGTTATGGCCACTTTTATGAACTGAAGCTAGGGTGTATGAGGGCCCTTTTTCAGAAATGAGTAACCTTAATCTGCAATAACATTCTAATGAAAAACGTTTTCCTATTAATTGTTGGTAAGAAACAAATAGTACTATTCAGCTAACAATCAACATAAACAAAATTATGGTTTTTACTCAAAATTTATCAAATATGTATAAAAATGTTACCCTACCCCACCCATTTTTAAAACGTGTTTGACCATTTTCCTACTTAGGGAGCCTAATTTAAAAAATCCTTCAAATTTACGCGAATGAGTGCCTGTTTTCAAAGTTTCCCTAAATTTTTAAAAAAGTATATTGGTTGATCTTGTAAAATATTAAATACTTTTACCGTCTGGTTTTGATTTTATTAGACTTTAAAATATCAGGTACCATATTTGCTTTATGATTGAGCATTATTTAGCCAATAAATACCTATATTAATTAAATAATAAACAAGAGGGCCATGATGGCCCTGAGGTCGCTCACCTGTATATAGGCCCCCCACCCCCGGGCCAATTTTTACCCAAGGGCTTTTATTTGTTTATTTGAACAGACTTGGTAGAAGATGTTTCATGCTACACATCTAAGTTCTAGCTCATTGGGTTTTTTAAAAGAAGATATTTAAAGTTTTTACTATTAACACATATAGTTAAAGACAATGACACCCCTGGGGCAGGGCCAGTTTTGACCCCTGGGCTTTTATTTGAACAAACTTTGTAGATATTTACTTAAAGATGTTTCATGCTTAATATCTAAACTCTAGCTATTTGGGTTTTTTCAAAGAAGATTTTTAAGTTTTTGCTATACACATATAAGGAAAATCAATGACACCCCCCCCCCCCCCGGCGGAGCCAGTTTTGACCCCAGGGCTTTTATTTGAACATACTCGGTAGACACCCATTAGAACATGTTTCATGCTAAATATCTTAGCTCTAGCTCTTTGAGTTCTTTAAAAGAAGATTTTTTAAGTTTTTACTATATGCATATAGGGAAAATCAATGACCGCCTGGGGCGGGGCCAATTTTGACCCCAGGGCTTTTATTTGAACAAACTTGGTAGACACTCATTAGAAGATGTTTCATGCTAAATATCTTAGCTCTAGCTCTTTGGGTTCTTTAAAAGAAGATTTTTTAAGTTTTTACTATATGCATATAGGGAAAATCTATGACCCCCTGGGGCGGGGTCAATTTTGACCCCAGGGCTTTTATTTGAATAAACTTGGTAGACATTCACTAGAAGATGTTTCATGCCACATATCTAAGCTCTAGCTCTTATGGTTCTTTAAAAGAAGATTTTTTAAGTTTTTACTATATGCATATAGGGAAAATCAATGACCCCCCGGGGTGAGGCCAATTTTGACCACAGGGCTTTAATTTGAACAAACTTGGTAGGCACTCACTAGAAGATGTTTCATGCTTAATATCTTAGCTCTAGCTCTTTGGGTTCTTTAAAAGAAGATTTTTTAAGTTTTTACTATATGCATATAGGGAAAATCTATGACCCCCTGGGGCGGGGTCAATTTTGACCCCAGGGCTTTTATTTGAATAAACTTGGTAGACATTCACTAGAAGATGTTTCATGCCACATATCTAAGCTCTAGCTCTTATGGTTCTTTAAAAGAAGATTTTTTTAAGTTTTTACTATATGCATATAGGGAAAATCAAATGACCCCCGGGGCGGGGCCAATTTTTGACCCCAGGGCTTTTATTTGAAACAAACTTGGTAGACATTCACTAGAAGATGTTTCATGCTTAAATATCTAAGCTCTAGCTTTTACGGTCTCTTTAAAAGAAGATTTTTTTAAGTTTTTACTATATGCATATAGGAAAATCAATGACCCCCTGGGGCGGGGCCAATTTTGACCCAAGGGCTTTTATTTGAACAAAATTGGTAGACACTCACTAGAAGATGTTTCATGCCAAATATCTTAGCTCTAGCTCTTTGAGTTCTTTAAAAGAAGATTTTTTAAGTTTTTACTATATGCATATAGAGAAAATCAATGACCCCCTGGGGCGGGGCCAATTTTGACCCCAGGGCTTTTATTTGAACAAACTTGGTAGACACTCATTAGAAGATGTTTCATGCCAAATATCTAAGCTCTAGCTCTTAGGGTTGTTTAAAAGAAGATATTTAAAGATTTTTCTTTTGGTTGCCATGGCAACCAGAGTTCTGCATGGAATTAAATTCTTTGAACAATTTTTAAAGGTGACCACCAAAGGAACATTCCTGTGAAGTTTGGATGAAATTGGCTCAGTGGTTTATGAGGAGATGTCATTTAAAGCAAAAGTTTACGGACGGACGACGGACGGACGGACGGACGCCGGACGAAAAGCGATCACAAAAGCTCACCCTGTCACTTTGTGACAGGTGAGCTAAAAATAAACACTTTTTTCTACCCAAAATGGATGGAGAGATACATGAATAATGTTAAAAGGAAAAAAAGAAAGAAAGAAAAATAGTTGACCCACTTGAGGTTTGAACCCATGGCCTGGTTCAGTACAGGAGACTCGGGCAAAATGTTATCTATGCTAGATTTTCATTATCATTCCACTTTCTTTTTGAAATTAATATTTCTTATCTTTGGTATATTAGGCTTTATTGAAGTTTCAATCAAAAATATAACTGCCAAAATTGAGCTGACATTTATCAAAATCTAAATTTTTCCAATTTTGTTAATTAAATATTATCAAGGTTCCTAAATTTTAGCACTTTACTTCCGGACTTCATGTATAAAAATGCTTTGTATCAATGTTTCCAGGAAAAAAAATATGGAAATAATTATGAAGAATCCAAATATTTTTGATGAAAATCGTTGTGAATTCCATGACCATTTAGTTGTTTGTTTTTGTCATCAAGTTTTTCATCATTTTACATGGTTTTTCAGGGTTCTTATTTTCAAAAATCTGAATGCAAAAATTTTGTCTTATTGTCAAACGTCTTCCATTTGTTTTAGTTTTATTAGCTTGTCTGTTTCAAAGGAAAATTCAAGCTATTATGATCATCGTGTTGTCATCATCATGCAAAAAACTTTATTGTAGCCCATGGTTCAAACATTTTTAGTTATTGACATGACAAGGTGAAGTTGTTGGACAAGGGGCATAATTCTGAAAGCATTTTTGTAGTTATGCCCCCTTTTTAAATTAGAATTTTTAACAGACAAGGGTTATCACCACATGCAGTGCCCTTGTTGATTTTTGCAGTACAATAGAATTCAATGGGTTTTTTCTTGCTTTTTTCACTCACATTCTCAAATTATTCATAAACAGTCATGTAAATATTATTAAGATTTATTATTTTAAGAATTATCATGGTAGGTATATAAAGGTGTTCTTATAATGTTTTCTTCTATATTGATTTGTGTTTGAAGGTCATAAGGGAACACTGTATATATTTTTTGCACATTTCTGTGTTCAACTTGTTCACAATTGAATCGGAAGGAAAACTTATGAAAATATACTCTTTATGTTAGTGTTAAAGGACATATTACTTACAAACTTGGTATATTTCTAGAAATAGAAGTTGTATCTTTTCAACATAAACATTTTGTACTGAAAAAAAAAAGTTAAAAAGTTCATTGCATCAAATATTGACTTTTTTGTTCATGAAATAATTTTTCTACAAAAGTAATGACAATTCATTTTCACAATTTTTGCATATAATCACGTCAGATAATTTTCATAATTGAAATCTATAAATATCAATAATCCACAACTTCCAGAGTTTCTCCTTGCCCCTAAAATAATAAAAATTATCTAGACTCCGAAATTTTACACTGCTGCTACTCCAATCATAAAGCTGTGATTTATTTAACACACATTCCAGAGAAAACATGGTATGGTGATATGTAGTGGCATACCTAGTTTTTACGATTAACTTGATGAAAAACAAATTCTATGCAAAATAGTATTATTTGTGTAGTTTATTTATTACCTCTGCATGCTTTTTTTCATCTGTCACAAACATTTTGGAACGTCTTCATTTTACCTAAGCAGCATAGTTTTAAGATATGCCTTATTGACAGAGCACTGTTAATGTTATGATAAGAATTTTCATTATTTCTTAACAATTTAGTAAGTTGTTAGTTATACAGTTTCTTTAAATACATAATGAAAATATAGCAACTCTGTTTTTGCTTTGGAAAAAATTTCATTTTTTCTGAATAATTTGTGTATTTATCAGTCATATAATTATGTCAATTTTCTTCAAATCTATATTCATTGAAAAAATGTCAATCATATGACAATGGTACATTTAAGTAATTTCTTTCCACCATAAATGATGATCAGTAAATTTAAAATTATGAAATTCATCTTGTTCTAGTACATTTTTCAAAATAATTAAATGAGCCGCGTCATGACAAAACCAACATAATGGGTTTGCGACCAGCATGGATCCAGACCAGCCTGCGCATCCGCGCAGTCTGATCAGGATACATGCTGTTCGCTATCAGTTTCTCTACTTGTAATAGAGTTGGTAAGCGAACAGCATGGATCCTGATCAGACTGCGCGGATGCGCAGGCTGGTCTGGATCCATGCTGGTCGCAAACACATTGTTGGTTTTGTCATAGACACGGCACAAATGTAAGAAATATAGTGTATATAAATTTGTTAGGATTTTTTGTTTGTTACAGAATATAATTGTACATTTGTTATCTGTCCATACATACACATGTCTGTGATAGTTGTAGCTAAGTTTACTTTTGTTTCTTTTTTGTATATATATGTAAAAAAAGATTTTATGATCACAAACATGGCTGTTTCCTCTACTTTCTTTATATTTTAGGTGGGTAAATTTCTTTACTGGCCATATGTCCTTTTTTCACAGATTTTGTTAGTCCACATAGCAATTAAAAATTTGACATAGATTTTGAACTTTTTACTATGGCTGAGAATCGAAGGCCGTCAAGGAATATTGTTGCAAAAGGGAAAAAAAAATCTCAGAAAATTAATAGGTTATTTCTTCTGGCATGGAAGCATCCTTAAATCTAGCCAACCGCCATTCATAAAAGCTAATTTAATATGTTGCAAGTGTGTTCCAAGGAAATCATTTCGTAATGTTCACATTTAGAAATGTCAGTAACATGGAATATATTTATCACTAGGTATACTCCTGAACACAACAAATGTGGGTTTGTCTCATCTAATCTCTGGTACAAACCAACTTTGACCAATTACAACTTGGTGAATATTTCAACAGTAAGTGCAACAAGTTGAACTCTTTATTTTGATGGTAGTGCAACAAGAAGCATAAGGCCAAAAGTTTGTTTGAACCCCAGAATAAGATGGGAAAAACCAACAATTAATGATCTAAGCTCTAAAGTTGCTTAAAATTAGGCAAGCTCTTATAAAACTGGTCACATGTAATTTCTTCTCTTATCAAACTATATGTTGATCTAGGTAGAATGTTTTTAAAAAGATCCTCAAGTTTGTCACAAAAAAATAAAACATTTGAAAACATAGTCTCATTGTTTTTTGTTACTTCATGAAGAAATATTAATTTGATTATAGCTCTTAGTAAAAAAAAAAAGAATATGAAAGAAAGTGAATTTGGTGTCCTTACATATAACGAAATCTTCCAATATAAATGGTCCAGCTTATAAAAGGGAGGTAACTGCTTTATTTTTATTTTTTTACAAAGATGTCTCCATACAGCAGTTTGCTGTAAACACAACAGGGGGTTGGTTCTCTCGATATTTTTCCTTATATGTAATTTATTAAGATAATAAAGAGTGGCAAAGAAAAAGTCTAGAGAATACCCTATAGTAAACACTGCCCATCAATTAAGGGACTAAATCTACAATACAATTGTACAATATGATGTCAGTTCTGGATTATGCCCTCTCCAATATTCAGGTCAATGTTGATTTTCAAAAACAGCACACTTATTTAGTAACATAACATTGATATGTATTTCAAAAATTTGAAATGTAGACACATTGTCTTTAAAAATCTACACCATGCATGCCAATTTTCCTTTAAAATACATGGTTATAAATTTCAAATTGCCTCTACTCAATTACACACATCTGTTTTATTCGGACAGTCAGCATCATTTCCCAAACAATATAATCACCAGGTTTCATATGGATCTGGACAGAATGTCAATCATTTCAACTTTGTGGGGTAAAAAAAATTCCTTCCAAGTTCATTTATTATTCTTTTAATCCTTCAAATGTGTATGCTACTAATTACAAACATACGCTTCAAGGATGAAGTTCTCTGTGCAGTTTTGATTTTTGAAAACACAGAGACCCATCAATGCAGTCTGACCTGGCTTTGTACAGTTGGTGGCTCAACTTTTGTATTTTTGATATTGAAAATAATTTCCAAGCAGGTCAAATTCATTATACAAATTCAGCAGGTTACCTGTTGACAAGGACCAAGAGTGAAACTCCATTAAAAATTGTTAGAATAAAACATTTCCCTTATCTGCCATTAGCGAGTAAATGTATGTATTAAATTTGAAGCGTTTTTTGGTTTGCTGGTTTTTACATCACACAAATACTGTAGATCATATAGCAACTTTCCAGCTTTACTGGTGGAGAGACCTCGGGTTCCCCTCTGTGCATTATTAATTCAGGCACTAGTCCTTAATTGAAAAACTTTGCATTTCCATTCTGTTTTAGAGACAGCAGATTTGACCAATGTAAAAAATAGCTTCAAATCCAGTAAAGGTCTATATATTTTGGACTATTGCAGGCACCTAAATAGAACCACCAATGTTCAGATAGCTTCCTCACATGCAAGACTCAGACAGGACTTGAAACCAGTGGTAAGGGGTGTGGTTTTTAAATCAACAACTATTACTACTCGGCCATGAACCAATTAAATGGACTTTAACCAATGATAATCAGAATGGTAAATTACAGTAAAACAATATTCTGTATGACTAAAAATCTTGTCAAATAAATGAAGTAAACAAAAACCAAAACACACTTGTATTCCACAATTTTATTCAGATAAGAAAAATTTACAACAAAATGAAATAAAGAATTGGCATTTTACTTCATATTTGTTCGAACTAAACAATATCCCCAAGACTGGTATACATAAACAAAAAAGGACGTCAATATATCTCAGTGTCTTCCAAATTAAACACAAGTCCAACTACAAGCCTATACGGTAACTATGTTTGAATACATTATTGTAATGTGAAATTAAAAGTAAAAATAAAAGGCCCAAAAACATTCCAGATAAAATAATCTCATAAATTTTATTTGTGTATTTTTCTTTCGTTCTAAACTTCTGTATCATTTTTCTATTTGTTCTAAAATTTCAACACACATTAAAGTTATCTACCCATGTCCTACTGACTTTCAGAGGAAAAATTGTGATGGAAAATTTTCAAGGTTGTTTTTCTGTTATTTGGTATGACAGATTAATACATTTTGCTGCACTCAACACATGACCTATGCTGGTGGCTAATGAGTATATATTTCCATGTCAACCAATTTCACACCTTGTATCAAATTAATCCTCACCTTATACAAAAACTGACAAAAAAGTCTTAACACTAATCAAAATACAGTCGCTAATTTGTATTTTACCTGCAAAAGGTGATTCACAGAATCCAGCAGTTACCTTGGCAACATCTACATCAAGTTTACCCTAATATAACTTTGACGTCAACAAAACCGGAGGGAGATAGAAAAAAAACACTCGTATAAAAAAAATCCAGAGTTCTTAACACACCCTGTACAGAATTGAAAATTTACACAAATGATCCTTTAGTCCATTATGTTGATTTTTAAGCAAGAAAATGAAGAATACAAAATATGAGTTCCATGATTCAGGTATGAGTCTAATATAAAATTCAGGGATTCCTGTAACAAGGACATGTTTCCATGGCAACAATGACCTAATGTTTAATCTAACAGCTTATAGCTGTAATACAATGTCATTAAAACCGGATGATGATTCTGTTAAAAAAAAAGAAGCTATGCTGGGTTATTTTCCACAAAACAGAACAACATGATTAATATATACAAGTGTCATTGGTGAAGAACCAGGATCAAAGTTAGTTAATGATACATTTACAATGAAGTAAAAATGAAGAACAATGGCGGTGTAACATCATGTTTGATTCCTTGTAGGTCTATTTAGTATTTCAAACATGTCTGTGGGGGAAATAATGCTTGCAAGTTTTCCAAAAGCAGACTCTTTTCTGTGGTTACACCATCATTCTGTTCCTGAAAAGAGAGAAATTTATGCTTATGATAAAAGACATTTATCAGTTATAATTACTCTTTTACTGGTATAGAAATAAATTTTTAGTGTTCATTGGGAACTCATCTGAAAATTGCCGTAAAAACTAACCATAAATTATTGAAAAGAACACTGCCTGTTACCTACTAAACTTTTAAAAGATACAGTTACACTGAGCATAACACTTGTATATTGCTAAACTTGTGATAGAAATAACTACTACACAATCACGACAATGTATAATAGATGATATGACTGAGGGAGAAATGTCCTATAGTGGTAAGGGTGTCTTATCTCCTACTGGGGACAAAACATGTTTCTTTATATGACACCAGTAAACCAGCAAGTAGACTTTGACAGTGCTTTAAATGAGCATATTCAAGACAAAATAATTAAATCTAAACTAAATGCTTTCGCAATGCTACTACAGCATTATCTGCCTATATTGTGACAAAAAACTGTAAAGTCCAAAGAATCAAAATAATATAGACTTACATTTCTCATGTTAAAACTTGTTAGCTGCTATCTTCTTCACACTGGAATAAAAAAGAAAAAAAGTTTATTTTACATACAAATTCATACTAAGGTGCTAGTTGCCAAAAATTAATAGCTAAAGGAACTTAAAGAAATGTAAATCTCAGCAGAAATGTGCCCATTTCATTTTTCAATTTAGCAGACAAATTTTTAACATTAAGATGTACAAGAATAGTTGTATATGAATTGTGTGACTTGTATGTGATAAAATCTAAATTTCAATGTCAGCCATGGAATGATTCTGCAGGGCCCACTTCTTTCAACTTTGTGACATTTTCTTTAACATAACCAAAGAATTAAACACAAATTATCATCCATCAGTCCACCTATCTAACAATGCTGAATGAATTTAAAGAACTTTGAGACAGAATTAGTAAAACTAAATTAAATCTGCAGACAGAATGTACAATTCTTTTTGTTTTACTTTACTTTTGTTTTTTTATATTTGTCTCTGTTATTTGTAATTTAATAACCAAGGCAGCCCAAACATGTCTATAAATTTTCTTTTTTTTATAAAATCAAGCCTGTCTGATAATTAAGACTCTCAGATGACAAAATTATTATCAGACGAAAAGCCTGTCTGATAATTAAGACTCTCAGATGACAAAATTATTATCAGACGATATTTTTTGCTCATTACTTTCTTTAAATATTTTTATTTGTTTCACTATTACAGAAAGACATGCATTAACAAATATGTTTCCATAGCAACAACAGGACAGCAGAACTTTCTTCTGCCATTCACTACTTTTCACCAGTTTTATATAGTTTTGTTAAGCTTTAAATACTGGCAAATAATGGCAAAATGCTACCCAAGAGCTATTCTATTCTTTTGTTTTATGTTTGGAATAAACACCAATAAAATCCCTTTGCACACATGTCTGATTCTAAACAAGCAGCAAACCCAGCAGTGCCCCTTGTAAATTGAAACTAGAAATATATCCATAGGAACACAGATGCCCTCCCCCCCCCCACACACACATTCCATTGTTTTGTCAGTCTACAAACAGACATGAAAATAGAAAGGACGAACTACAGAAAATCTATATGCCACTGCTATAAATAAGAATTGTTTTATCGTTTTAATTTTTCAGAAAAAAAAAAAAACAATTGAAATTTAAAACCAGAGAAGAAAATAGCTCAGGGTTAAAAATTTTTGAGGGTTTTTTAAAGCAATGTTTCTGAAAAAGCTGTCAGAAATGAATACAGCAGTACCAAACGATTCTGCCCGTAGCTTGAGCTCATGGCGATTATTGTAAAGCAGGTTATAATCATACTTGTATGCTTTTTTGTTGCCTTATCTTTTTTAAATTTAAATTGATCACTACTATATCTACCTATGCTGTCTTTTAACTTTACTACAACTACTTAGTTAAAAATCTACATTACAAAGTAAGGAAAAAGGAAGCTTGTATTAGCAATTACATCGACATGTCCATTTTCATGGATCAATTAAATTCACACTCGTCTGTTTATAGAGATCTGTCTCCTCTTCCATGACGTCATAGTCTGTCATACAACTCCTTTCCTTTCATATAAATATTCAGTTTCCAACAGTCATTGTACCCTCACTATCATGTTTCTTCATCAAATGACATTCCAAGAGGTGTGTTAAATACCTTACTTCTTCCTATATTTTTCTGTTCCCTTGTTAAGTTAATAGTAATGTCGTTCACCTTTAAGTCAAATATGTCCTCTTTTTGACTTGGTACTACTTTGTTACATATTTTCTTCCTTGAACTGTTCTTTTTTTATTCATATCAATGTAAGCTTGAGCTATTTTAATCCATTTTTTTTTTTAAAAGATGAAGAAATTCCCTCTATTTTGGCAGCATCTGAAATCTTGTTCAGCACCTCCCATGCCTCTTGTCATAAATCTTTTCTTTCCACAGTTTATGCACATCTGTACTTGGTACATTTTCATACATAGACATTTCTGTGTAGTGTGGAAGCTCTCTGTGTATATCCTTAGTGACAATCTACCTGTATTATGTGTGCTTCCTTTACAATTTGTTGTTTTATAAACCTTTTTCTTTTTTTTGGAAAAAACAAAACACACAAAAAAACGTCAGTTACATAACACTATTCCTATTATTTAAAAATCTAAAACACAAATAGTTTGGCTTTTGGTAATAAAAAGCAAAGAAAAGCAAAATTTTGTTTTTAATCACAAATAAGGCACTTATTATACGCTGAAATTACTTGTTAAAATAACTTTAATAAGCAGAAATTTCTCTTACTGAGTAGAAAATTTTAGTGATTCAAATATAGTAAATTCTTGTTTAATACTTAATACTCAGAGTAAAACATTTCAAGTTTCATAGTCTGATTTGGCATCAGTACTAGTTTGTCTAATAAGTGTCAACTTCTCCAAACAAAAAACAACAAAAAACATCATTTTTTAAAATTGTTTGTTTCATTTTACGCCTTTTCCCCAACAGTATTTCAGTCATATAGGTGGGTAGTTTCCTAACCATCGTTCCTGGAGAATTACACCAGTACTAGACTACCTTCCTCCGTGCTGAACTACCAAAGCATCTCCCAGGGATCGAACCCAAGCCAGAGAGGTAACTGGATCAGAAGTCCTCGACTCTTTAACCCCTTGACCACGGAGGCGGTGTTTAAATGGCAGTGTATGGTAAATGGTATAAGCCACCAAATCAATTATCATCTTTAACTTTGTGATCATAAAAGAACTCCTCCTGATGAACTGATCTAGAAGATTTATACTAAGTTCTGAAGAAATAACTTCTCTATTTGATTGTCCAGAATGAAGAAACTATTTTGATAAAATGGTATATGGAGAAACAAATTCATGACAAGCAACTTTTTTTTATATGTTCTAATTCCTTCAAATATCACGAAGCAGAGGGCAGCATTTTCAAAAGCCTGGATATAAAGCCACCTCACACATCGCAATTGTTAGTGAAAATGCAGTTATTTACTGTTATCCTAAAGCTGCTATCCTAAAATTGCTATCCTGAAAATGGCTGCAGGTTAGATGAAAGAATGCTACAGGTAAGTTATGTATTGTTAATTAATAATTTCCAAAAGAAAATTTCAGTAGCTGTGTAAAATTTCTAACTTCTATGTAAATATATGCAAGTTGCAAGCATTGTTAATATATGCATGAATTGTCCGCATCCAATAGAATCAGCAGAAGGCGTGGTCTGGTGTATATACATGTATATATGGTACAGAAGAAGGCGGGGTTATATATGCTGGTTAGTAAAAGCTGTAAATAACTCCATGCAATATGGAAGACTGTATTTCATTGTTCAACATTACACACAACAACAAAATCACAAGTCTTCCATCTCGCATGCAGGCTCAACGGTTATAATCTAAGCGCATCCCGAGGTAACTCCCTTCCACATGCAGGTTAGTAGAAGTAACAGATCCGCATCACCAAAGTGCTAAAGCATTATTTAGATAGGGAAGAAATTTCATCCATTCTCATCCCATTCATCTATGAAATCAGTTGACTAACTAATTCAGTAGTTAAATTTTCAGACTAGATCTAAGATATAATCTACAGTTTGGATAAGTTAGTAAAATATGTTCCTATCTCATCTCTTAAATTGTTATATCTGTTTGTATGTCTAGTTTTTACATCTATATCTGCATTTTTGGCCATATCCACTTTCCTGGATAACTAACCAGTAATAATAGGGATCACTTTTCGTCCGCAAGTGGTTCACTACTAATCCCACATGATTTCTGAATCAGTGGTTAGAGACAAATGACCATTAGACACTATATCCAAGATCATTTGTCACAGAGAAATTTCCACTGGCCCGAGGGAACATCTAACAACTAATAGCTATCTACTCTATCCTAGAATATTCAAATACAGCATTACAGTACTCTTAATGTGTCCCAACTCAATCATTTTTTCACAAAATATGTCAATTACTACTCAAATTGTTAATTAAACATTGTCTCTAAGTTCTAATCTTCATGCATAAAAATCAGCTAGTTTGTAAACTATGGATAAGATATTGTTTTGTTTTTTCAATGATTCTTAAGTTATCAAATTAAAGAAGATGTTGCTATGGAAACAAAGTTTGCTATATTGTACATACACACTGTACTCCAATCTTTTCATCAAGACCACCGGTAGTAAATTTTGTGAACACAAATTTTTACTTATCATTTTAACCATATGTAATTTTTACTTATCATTTTAACTAGCTGTTAGCTTGTAGCCATGCTTTACTATGCCAGACTCCAGTATAGAGCCAGACAGACCATACACATATATACTGTCACTGACTGATCAATACTAGTATTTATACATCAAAACCTCTCACACAAACAATGGACAGATCTAGCTTTAAAACTAGCACAAAGTTTATTATAAAACTTCGGTACAGTATAAGTAAATCACTAATTTGCACCTGATATCAAATTCATGCAACAATGTTAGCTTGTTCATATGAACTAAAACAGGAAGTCTTTAAAAAAGACAGAGAATGCAAACATGGTCATTAATCAAACATGTAATTATCTGGAGATCTTTGCTCAAACGTGATCATCAGATTAAGTTCAATTAAAGTTTATGTTGTTCAATTAACGATTACAGCCGATCCCTGTAAATTCTTCATTTGTTACCTTATACATCTAATCAATACAGCTGGACAATGTTTAATTAAGACAATGCCAGGATAAACCACAGCATATTACAGGTAATAACGTAGAGCTGGTGTGTAATTTATCATTAATGAATTTTCTACAGACACCAGCAACTGTTTGTGATACAATGGTACCATCAAGCTACAGATAACAGCTGGTATTTTGACACAAAAGAACCAGTCATTTTACATTTGGGTGATGTTGAAAAATATCATTTTTGTAATCACACATTTTCAAATCAATATAAAAGTTTCCAATTAAATCAAATAAAAGGAATTATAAACAGAAATAACTGCAGTCACAGCATAAATGAACACAGGTCAGTATCTTCTAGTTCAAAATGAAGCTGCGAATTTTCAGAAGTATATTATCTATCTTGTACATTAACTAGCCTAGTAAATACGGTCATGCAGATTGTTGAACAAAACCAGCACCAATTTATTAAAAAAAAAAAAAAAAAAAAAAAAAAAATTAAACGAAATAATAAACTTTAAATAAATATTAACTTGCGAACTGTGTAAGTAAATTACTGAATAATATTTAAGCATGCTTTTCTCACCTAATTTTTTAGACTTTCATTTAAAAAAATTAATATTTTTTAAGCTTTTTTTATTTATTTTTTTTTTGGCAACATCTACATTTAAGATACTTACCCCCCTAAACTAATGGTTTTTGGCCCTGGCCCCAGCTTGAAGCTCCCGAGCACTAAAACGATAACAGAAAAACTTTTCTGTCTTCAAAATTAATAAATGTATAAAAAATTTTCCTTAATTATACTTAATGGTTACAGACCATTTTTTGTGAAAGCATACAAGGATTGTGTAAAAAAAATAAAAAGATCCTAAGCTTATTGGTGCTGGTTGTTCAACAACTGAATTTTCAAGAACACATCAATATAAACCTTTCACCTGTAACTCAGAAACAATTTTAACCCTCAATTTTTACACATTATATAAAACCCAATACATTACATTAAAGCAGCTAACCACTTAAATAATCTCCATTGCCCAAAACACTTGTCAATTTCTTTTCTTTTTTAATTAAACTTTCAGCCAACATATGCACAACATTTTATCATGCACAGCATTTTATCAAACAATTTGAAAAATTTTCTTACAGGACTGAAAACATTCTACTTAAGAGGAAAGCTGCTTCAAAATTAAACATAAAGGAGAAGAAGGAAAGATTTAAAACCAAGTGTAACAGTCAAACCATCAGCCCACAAATGTTAACAAAGAAGTTAACTTTTAAGAAAACCTGAAGCATACCTCATTTGTAAGAGATATTGTGCATTCTGTATTTGTTCCTCTGTACCAGTTATTGTGATGATTCTGTCATTAGATCCGGGCAGGGCCTCGTCAATGACAATCTGGGCCTCTGACTGGTGACGGATCTCCATGATTCGGGAACCTCCTTTACCTATGATAGCTCCAGCCATCTGTTATTAAATGGTATACCAATATTATATACCAGTCATATAACAATAGTTCATGCAATTCAATAGTTGTTATCCGGAACTCGGCAAATATGGGTTTTTCCGAGCTTTTCTCCCAGTACAAACTTTTACCATTTTAGCTTCGAAAAGTATGCTTAAAAGAGCATACTTAAATTTTACCCCAAAAAAAACATTTTACAAAATATATATGAACTATATGTATTCAGTATGAATGTTGTCATTGCCTTTAAAAGTTGTTCTTTACATAAAGGGCGTGATAATAAACACTTTTCTATATATTTAATTGAATACTAATTAACTTAAATATTTCAGTGAAGCATTTCATTTATATTTACATGGGCAATGCTCAAGACGTTGTGCAACATGTACAAAATAACCTATGTATAAAGAATATAAACCAAGAATTAACAGACATGTGCTCGAGTCTTTCAATCTGTATCTTTTTGAATCGCCCAACATCGACAACATAATGCTTTCAATAAAAAATATTTCTAGCAAACTTGGGATTCTTGTTTAGACACTAATGTTAATATTTGCGTTATGTAATGAACCTGTATCACAATATATACTTACATCCTTTGGTATTGTGACCTGGGTACTGGTTGTTGGCTCATTTCCAAACATCATTCCCTGATTTCCCATACCTCCCTGCAAGACAAGTTTTAAACCAATTACCTCTAATAATATTAATCGCAGAATATATGACTTAACTATACAACTATGTAGGCCAGCCTGAAAATTTGTGCTACTTGACCAGACAGTTAACATATGATTGCAATATACTAACTCCAAACAAATTAAGAATGAGCAGATCTAATTTTTTTCTAACTTCCATAAATTAGAAATTAATGAACAAGTTAAAACTTTATTGTGAATTACTTTTATCCAATTCTCAGATTAAATATTATCTTAAATTCTAACAACAGGTCTGGAAATAAACATGTATTAAAAATTTTATTTCATTTCACAGACTCAAAGATTACATAAAAATTTGTCATTTACACGTAAGTTATTTGTAATCAATAAGAAAAAAGTAATCAGGATGCTGGAATAAGGAATACCATGTTATCATCCATAAATCCCATGTTGTCACCAAATCCACCACCTTGGTTTCCACCAAAACCTCCTTGATTCATATTTCCACCACTATATATAACAACAAAAATAAACATCATTTAATCTTTTGAATATGAGTAATGATTGCTTGATGTATCAAGATGATATTTTTCTCAAACTAAAGATAAAACAAACTTCATTCCTTTAAAGGTAGCAGGCTGAATAAATTTATTTAATCAATTAAACATTTGTTAATCATTAACTAAACGCAGGTTCTACTTAAAAATATATAAGTTTCATATTTAACACTTACCCCATTCCTCCTCCCATACCACCACCCATGTTTCCACCCATGCCACCGCCTCCCATACCTCCGCCACCTCCCATACCTCCACCGCCGCCCATACCTCCACCGCCCATGCCGCCACGACCCATACCGCCGCCTCGTCCTCCGAAGTTACCACCGCCCATTCCTCCACGGCCGCCACCCATACCTACAATGCCGCAGATTATTTGTTTAAATTGCGCTTAAAAAATATAACTTTATTCATTTAAACATAACTGACAGGGCATCCAGATGTTCCTTTCATGCCATTTGCAAGCAACTTCTTTTCCTTTTTGAACATTGGGGTAGGGCTCTTCATTTGCAACATTCAATTTTGTTAAATTTATTAAAATGTTAAAACATGCACTTGCTTATATATAAATATTAATAAGATCATCATTTTTTTGTTCAAATTAATATTTGCTTAGATCAGATATATTTTATTAGTGGTTTCATCATACACTGAATGGCAGTTGCTTTATTATTAAATATAATGCCAACTTAAAAGACCAAAGGGAAAATCTGTCTTTTAATCAAATTAAACATTGTAAATAACAAACATATCAAAAAGCACAAAGAGAGCATCTGAAAGTGATAGGGGACAAACTTATATTTCAGAAATTAAATTATTACTTCTAATAACTCTTTACTTTGCTTGCAAGTTCTTTCGTTGGTGTAGACTTGTTATAAAATTGGAAACTTATTATGTAGACTTGTTAAAAAAAAAAAATCAATTTTTGATAACCATTGACAGTTTGCCAGGAAAACAAATTATCAATATAAACTTATTTTAAACAGATAATATTTGTAACTTGTAAGACTACTCAATGGCATAAATTAACTATTTGAAAAAGTCCAATGGAAAATGGCCATGTACAAGGTAAACTGCGGCACTCAAATAAGGATATTTGAATATATGGTCTTGAAAAAAAAAAAAAAAAAAAAAAATCCAGTCAGCCAAAATGCATACAAGATAGGGACACCTTTGAAAAGCTGTAGAAAAAGCTATTTGACATATTTAAACAGACAAATTTACAATTTGCCTAATTGGACACTAATACTCTGGCTAATGACAGTATAAGGAAGCAATGCAGGGAGAAGGCACACATATATTTTATCATTTTTTACTTGGTTTTATGTCTGATGATCCCCAAAGTCCAAATTTTGGGACAGGTTTGAATCATTGCCTTGTTGGCGTCCACCCAAAAATTACTAGCACCTCTCGCTCTTCCACGACCTTAAACAAAACATTTCACTGCAATATCTTTTTTTTCATCAATATTGATGACACATTGAAACAAAACCTTTGAACCATGCATGTTTCCTGACATCACTTTCTATGAATAATCATTATTCTCCAACTTCGATCCTTTCCCTTTTGGCATCGCAAAAACCGAAATTGTGTTACAATAGAAAATTAGCATTTAAATGATTAAATAGAAAGGTACATACATGTTATAAAATAGAATATTAGAAACATAAATAATTTTGGCGTAGTTTTGAGTTTAAATCTAGTTATACATTATTTCAGAAACAAGAAGGAACAATGGGGGATCTACAGGTATAAAACTAGGGCTTAATGGTAAGGAAATTAGAGAAGCTTAGACAATTGTTTTGTTAAGTAATCTGGGCGCAATTCTGTGATATATCAAGTTTGTGTTTACTCTCATGTCTTTTGGAGCATATCAAGTGAGTTTGGTTATTTCAAGAGATAACTCAGACTTTTATTTTTTTATTTTTCAGAATCATACTGTTATATTCATGCTATAAGGCCAAACAAAGATAATTCATATTGAATAGAACGGTTTTCTGAGAAACAGCTGACCTGCTAACCGATTTTAAAGGGAAATGGCTTACTAAAAGTGACAGGATAAAAAGTGCCTTAAGGAATTTTTTCCCTCCAGTTTTTGATATTAATATTGTGTCACACATACCTCCACCCATACCACCTCCACCTCCTCCCATTCCACCGCCACCCATTCCACGCACCGCGTCCTCCGAAGTTTCAGCACCTGCCCACCGCCTCCACGACCACCTCCGAATCCACCTTGACGGCCACCCATGTCTCGTCCACCACCACCACCTCGTCTAGATAAATAATAACAAAACATTGCCAATACAGGGTCATTCCATGAGAAGAAAAATTCCATCTAGGACATTGAATTCTTTCACTGGGAGAAAACTATTGATCATGCTGTCATTTTAGAGGACAGGGATTCTAATCTAGGGTTTACTTTGCCTGAAATACCACATCGGGAAAGAGCACAAAGAAGTTTGGGCCTCCACAAGTAAAGCTTGACATTCATTATTGACCTTTAAACAGCATACCCCCCCCCCCCATCCATTCTTCAACAAAGAAATTTATAATCTAAAACAAATTTTTAAATGCACTTGAAGTCTGAAATATTTGTAATTTCCTACACAAAAAAAAAGTTTAAAGTCCCAAAAAAATTTTTTAAATTTTTCCCACCCCCAAAAAAAAATACCCAAAATTTTTCAACAACGGAAAAATTTCTTTTGATTTTAAAGGGTTTAAACGGAGGGAAAAAAGCCACAAGATAGAATTTAAAAAACACAGCTTATAAATATCAAATAACAGATTTAAAAGGACCATTAACTACAGAAAAACAAAAAACCCAAAAGGCTATTTTACGTATTCAAAATTTTTTCCTTCAGATATAACAAAAGGTTTCAGGGGAAACTTTTCTGAAAAAATTGCCATTAATTTTTAAAAAGTACAATTTTTAATTTATTTTGTAAACTTTTTTATAAGAACCTTTTTAAAATAATTTACATATTTTCCCAAAACTAATTTTGGGAAAAAAAGATTTTTCGGTGTGAAAAAATATTTGAGACTTTTTAAAAAATATATAGATTTATGAAATTTTTGTCGTCCCTAAGGAAAGAGAAAAAAAGCCCCCTTCCTTACATTTTAAAACTGCGTGGGTTTTCAACCTTTTTTACAACTTCCCTTAAGCTGGAAATCAAAATAAATATCCTTTTATAAACCCCCCGGTCCCCACCTTTTTCCCTCCCCTCCCCCCCCCGGGCCCCCCATGCCAACCAACCCCCAAAAACGGCCCCAAATCCACCCCCCGGGGGCCCCCCACCCACCCCTGGGCCCCTCCACGGCCCCCCCCCGACCTTCCCTTTACCTCTCAAACCCCCGCCAAAGTATAACCCTCCCTACTCTTGGGAGTAAAACTCGTCAAAAATTGTTTTGGGCAAAAAATTGGGTTTGGTTTCCCTTTTGGTGGAAACCTTTTAAAAAAAAATTCAAAAAATTAAACAACAAAATAATAGGGGTTTAAAAAATTGAGATTACATTAATTTCCCTTATTTAAATTCTTTTTTCAATTTGGAACCTTTATGTTACAAAAAAGACAAACACATTTAAAAAAAATAGAAAATTCCAATTTTTATTTAAAATTTTTTTTTTAATTTTGACAAATTTCAAAAAAACATAGCTCAAAAACCCAAATTTTTTTTTAAAAAATTTTCCCCACTGGGCATTTCTTTGGGGTTTTAAACCCCTGAAATTTACAGTTTAAAAAACATTTTAAAAAATTTTGGGGTCCAAAAAACCTAATTAATTTAAACAGTACTTAATCCAGTTTACTTTTGGAAGTTAAATAACGTGTCAACTTTTCTCGTTCTTTGATTTGTTTAAAAAACGACAAACCTATTTTAGAAAAATAGTTTTTCCCTTAAAATTTTTAAATCGCGGAAAATTTTTCATTGGATTAAACCTTTTCAAATTTCCAGCAGTTCGTAAAATTGTGTCAATACAGTTTTACGACAAACGGGCTGGGGCGACCAGCAATGGCCCCCAACACCGCCCTGGGGAACCGGGCCAAAATATACAAATAAAGTTTGTTCCAGTTTTCTACAAAAAATATTTGAAAAAATTTATCAAACTAAATTTTCAAAAACAACATTTTCCCCCTTTTTATTTTTTAAATTAATTTTTTGAAAAAACTTTTAAAAAAAAAGAACCCCTTTTTTCACAGTTTTAAAAAACCCAAGTTAAAAATTCTTTTGCAAACAACACAATTGACTCACTTCCCAAATTTTATTAAATGAAAAAAAATAATCAAATTTTAATTTTGAGGGTAATTTAAAAATTTTAAAATTTTTCCTTTTCAAAGAATTGTTTTGTTAATTTTATATTTCTAAGTTCAAAAGCTAAAAAACATTTCTTTTATTTTTTTTAAAAAAATTTTCTTTTTCTAAAGAGAGTTTTTTTTATCATTTCAAACTTTAAATAGACTAAAGCCTTGAAGTAAAAATAAATGGGGTTTTATTAAGGAAAAACTTAAAAAAACATTAGGGGAAAAATCTACCTTCCGGAGTTCCTTTTATTTTTAAAAACAAGCTCTAACCAAAAGGGCACATCCCCGCCTGGCTTTGAAAAGAACCCAAAAAATACGGAACTTCACACTTTAAATCCAAATTTCCCCTTTTAAAAGTTTCCGATAAATGAAAAATTTTAATTTTAACCCAAAACAAAAAATTTCTACATCACTAAACAAAAAACAACTATTTCAAACCTTTTTTTAAAATTTTGGGGGTAGGGGTGGTCAAAAAATTTAAAAAAACATAAAAAACCCCCACCCCCGGGAACCCTCTTGTTTTCATTTTTCAGTCGACTTTGCAGGGAAAAAAGGGTGAACCAATGAAACCCCCCTGGCTAGTTTCCCCCCAATTAAAAGATAAA